CTCCAAATGCAATTATTGGTCAGTCCAACATTCGATCCTTTTTCGACTAGCTGAGCACTTCATTTTCAACTAAAGATCTAATGCCAAAAACAATTAAATTTTTTTCTTTCTAATCTATTTATAAACATAGTTTTTAAATTTCTATTTTTCATTTTTATTTTAATATTTTTAATGTTATCCTTTCCTGACTATTACAAGCTGAATTAATCTCCAAATGCAGTTAATGGTCAGTCCAACATTCAATCCTTTTTTCGACTAGCTGAGTACTCAAATTTCAACTAAAGCTCTATGATTGATTCCAATACATTACAATTGAATTTTTTCCTCCCTTTGAATCTATTGTAAAACGCAGTTTTTAATTTTTTTAAATTAATTTTATTCATCAATTTAGTTTGATAAAATGATATGAAAAATAAGTTTTCGCCTCATAAAATTGTTTTCTCTGTTTATTCATTCCGGAACACTGGTCACACGGTCACGAAAGTGGGAGGCGATAGTATTGAATAAAAAATAAAATAAAAACATTTGTAGGGTTATACGTAGGCCGACTCCTATGACCGAACGTTTTGAAAGTTCACTTAAATTTGGAGCCAAAACATAGCATTTCCAGAATCCTGAGCTATTAAACCAGAATAAACTAGATTGGATAATGATTGTATGCACTACTTATCACCATCGGATCATATTTACAATTTGTGAATTCGTTTTTTCTCTCCCTAAAGTAATAATAATCGGCAATATGATAAGACACCTTTACGAATTTACTATAAAATTTAAAATTGGCTGTTTTCTGAAGAAAAAAACAACACTCAAAATTTTTATTAAATGAGTCAAGAAACTTTTAAAATAGCAGGGGGCAGGAATTAAGGAAACGCGCCGTTTGATCTGAATTCAAAGTCAAGATCGCCTTATCCCACTATGAATCAACTGGCATATCTAGTGATGTGTAATTAGGTTCGCCTCGGGTCAGAAACATCACAGTAAGTAACGAGTGGGATGATCACTTTAAAAGGTCGCACAAAATATGCAAATTGAAGACGAAAAAATCTGTCCGAAATTCTTCAAATTCATGGCTTTGAGGTAGTAGTTAGCAGTGAATACGCTATTGTTAGTCCAAAATTCAAACTATTTTGTCTGCTTTTTTTTATTATTATTATTATTATTATTATTCACTGTACGAAATGCTTATGAAAGGATGTTCACCGACCGCGTGTGCGTGTTTGTAGAGAGAGGGAGCAAAGACGTATTTTCGTAATTCGCTTCTATTTTTCAATTTCTGAAGAATTAACTTCATCTTTAGTATGCAGAAAATTGAAATGGGGTCAGGATGTGTAATAAGAAATAACACTAAAAAATTGACAATTAACGTTTTTTTTAATTTTTTTTTTATTATTTTTTTTAAATTTTAACTTAAGGTTTGATAATCGATTCAATAAAATCGCAAGGCAAATTTTAAATTTTTTATAACCGGCTTTGAGCAGAACCTACTCGATTCTGAGTTTATGCCTAGCAGTGTTCAACTCCGAAATTTTACAATTTTGAACCCAACACGAAATGTAAAGGAGCTCCTGGATCAAGCATCCGGATAACCTGGCCTTTGTAGATGCTTTTTAAGGGAACTAACCCGCATTTTCGTTACATGGAGAGAAAAACCACGAAAACCTCCCACGGTTAGCCCAACGGCTAGGGATGCTAGGCCAACCGGGAGCAGAATTCGTGTCAACCAGCCAACGCTGGGATTCGAACCTGGGTCATCTCATTTGGAGACAAACACTCTATCACCTGAGCCATCGTAACTATGTCGTGTCACATTGACATATGGAGTAAGAATGTTACATATATTATGTAAAAAAAAATTCTTGCTCATAGTTTCTAGGTTCACTGATTCAAGAGTTACTCTCGACTCCAAGTTCAGCGATTCCATCGTTATGGGGAGCACGTGAAAATTGAGAGTCAGCAACAGAATTATATCTAGTGTTCTATGTTTTAAGACTTTCGGTTATTGCGCATGTTTTGCGAGTATCGTCAAAAATATGCAACCCAATTTTTACCAGTTAGATTATTACAATTTTTTCAAATTACAAATTATTTTGTAAATTGCCGAAAAAAATAGTTAAAGATAAAAGTATGTATAGATGCAAACGTAATGAAACAGCAATTATTAACATCATCTAATATTTTCATCGTTGCTTGGGTATATGTCGTTTTGAAGGGACGTGAACATAAATAGTTTTACTCCTAACTTAGTTTTTCAGATGGAACTTATTCTTCAAGGGTTAGATTTGGGGGGGGGAAAAAAACTTTTTTTTTCTTTAATTAAAACTGAATTATTTAAAATTATTTCATGGAAACCTTAACTTGTAGCCAATGTTTTGAAAATTCGAAAATATCCACTTTTGTTACATAAATATGATAACATGATGATTTTCTATATATTTTATAAGCAGATAATAATAGCTGAATATTTTTAACTATACTTATGTGGTATATAATTTTATAACTCCACTTAACCATGCAAATAAACACTCAACATCTAAATGATATTATAATAATCCATGTAAAATAGTTATTACCCCTTTCCTTTTGATAAAAAAGATTTTTAGCTTTTTGTCCTGAATTTTGTATATGTTCAGAACTTTTAATTAAATACCTTTTATTTATTTTTGACGCATAAATTAAAATAATAAGTTTAAAATAAAATAATATGTAATAAAAAATATGCAATAAAAATATTTTAAATAAATTTTGAATATTTTTAGTTAATTTTTTTTTTAAAGTACATATACTAAAAATGCATACATACACTGATAATCGAGAGAAAAAATTGACAAATAAACTGAAAAATTAAGTTGTAATAAAATTCAGATTAACAACTTGTTTCCATTTGTGTCTTTAATTGTAGCAAAGGTGATGTTGCTTTAACAAGATGGGGAAAAAAACGTTTCTCTCGTTTTTTATCTTAACTCGTACAGTAATTATATTATTTAAATAATTTTAAGAAGTATCAGAATATGTATTTTATATCGCTTTATTTTATTTTAAACATTTTCAGTGATATCATGACTTAACCTTAGCTTTGGTCTCATTCATTAATTTTACATGGATATTTTTGTCGAAATGCAATGATACGTGAACATTGAAAAAAAAATTTGGAGTACATTTAATGTTATTTTATTTGGTTCTATTCAAGCTAAAAGTATTTATATGCAAAATTAAATTATTAAATTTTTTTGTTTAAAAGAAAAACATTTAGTTTAAGCAAGACAGCACTGTTCAGAGGAAAGAAAGGGATTTGTGAAATGGCCGATACAACGGTACAAGACACTTTATTACTTCCGATTTCGTGTTAAATGCTGTCTTTTTATTATTATTTATTTTATTGTATCTATTATTCTCCATTCTATTCAATTCAAACTTGATATTAGATGTAATTTAATAAAATTCTATTATGTTTGTTACATCATACATTACATATTTTTATGTTTGTTACATCTATCTGAGCTATGCAGTTTATATTTTTATTTACCTTTCCATTGTATTCTTATTGACGTAACTTTGACTGAATAGCACTCAATTATGTTCTACTGCAATCGAATCGATAATGCTAATTGAATATATTTATCTTCATTACATTCTATTCGAATATGTGCATTTGATATCTCATTAGGCTTATATGATATTTGATTATGTTGGATTTGTTAATGTTCGATTATATTGGGTTTGTTATAGCATTTAATAAACTAAATTCCTAGTTTAATGTATTCAAATTAAAATTAAAAATTTAAATGACGCAAAATGTTGTTTTTTTTTTTTTTCTTTCTAACAATTAGAAAAAAGGCGGTAAAATTTTTGATTCGAATGAATTTAGTAGACTGAATCCTATAAAAGAGAGAGGGGAAAAAAAGATTTTGTGTCAATTCGACAATCCGTCTTAAACACAATTCGTCGCAGGGACAATTCATTGTGGTGAGCACAATTCGTCGTAAAGACAATATGTTGCGATCACAATTCTCGCTGCGACAATTTTTCATAGGCAGAATTCTCAATACGACAGTTTTTTGTGGGCGAAATTCTCACGTCGACAATTTTTCGTGGGCACATAGGGGCACAACTGATCGCTACGACAATCCGTCGTTGACGTGACCATTTTGCTCCCGAGGAATAGTATCCACGACGAATTGAGCTCTCGACGAGTTATGCTTGTGACGAAATGTGCCATCGCTGAATTGCGCCCACGACGAATTGTGCTTATTGATGAATTATCGCTGTTTCGAATAGTGCTCAATATAAACTGTCGTCCCGACGAATTGTGCGTGATTAATTGTCCTACGACGAATTGACGCGATTCCCTCCTGGACTGCACTTTTAATTTCTTTCTAAAGCTATTGACCTGTCATCATTAAATTACTAAATTTCGTTTTAATGTTGTTGGTTTTCTTTACCAGATGCCTTGAATTATCTTGCAACTAGCAAAATGTCTCACTTTTTAAACACAATACATTGACCTTTTTTTTTTTAACTTAGCACCCGAAATTCGCCCTTGAAAAGTGGACGTAGCTTAAAATGCATTATAATGAAAAGGGACCTAAATGCGTACTTTAGCAAAGCTCAAAATATATATTGAAGGAAAAGGATGCTTGAAAATGGGGGACGCATTTTAAAAATGGGGAAAGGTCAAAAGGTACTGACAAACTGAAAATTTTCATAGGTTTTTTGAAAATCTACAAATAATCATCTTTTACTAGTTAATTCTTTTAAAATATTATATTCATAACAATAATTTAAAAAATAGAATCAAATTTTATGTATTTTAAAATTACATTTTGGACCCTTTTTTTTTTTTTTTTTTTCTAATATACATTTGAAGCTATCAATTTTCTTAAACGCTCGATCTTATTGATGTCAAAAATATAAAAAAAGTTCAATGATGATTATATCCTTTTTATAAATGTTTCAAAGCTTGTTGTATTCTGTCAATAAATTTTATTTTATTTGTACAGTTTGTGGAAGATTATGAACCAACAAAAGCAGACTCTTATCGTAAGACTGTAATGCTGGATGGTGAAGAAGTAGGAATAGACATCTTGGATACTGCCGGACAAGAAGACTATGCTGCCATTAGAGATAACTATTTCAGATCGGGGGAAGGATTTCTCTGTGTGTTTTCAATTACAGAACATGATAGTTTTTCAGCCACATCTGAATTTAGGTATATGTTACTCTTAGTCGTTTGTATGATAATACATTAAATGTACAGGGGTCTGTCTAGGTACCTATTTTGTGAAAATTTAGAAATAATTTGTGAAAGTTAAAGATTATATATTAAGAAATCAACTCAAAAATATGGTAAGTATGAAAATATTTTCAAAAATTGTCTCTACAAATAAAAATTATTCAGAACTGGTAAATTTCTATATATTTTGCCCCATATATTCATACTTGAAATTGCACCTAAATTTAAAAATCCATAAAAATCATTGTCCATAGTATAAATACACGCATTTAACTGTACTAACACTAAAAGTTATTTTCATAATGAGAACTTTTTCGACTAGGTCATACAAAAAAAAAAGTTTCACAGCAGAAAAAAATGTTCATAAAAAAATAAAGGTCTGTTAGAATAAATTTACCATAGTGTTTAAGATAATGTTCGAGTGTTTAAAATAATGTTTGAATTTCGACTTCCACTAAAGTTTATAGAGGGCTCGCCGTTTCAAAATCTATGATTTAATTTTGTTAAACATTCTTTGACCTTTGTTAAATAGCTTTATACTATACTCTTATGCATGGAGCTTTAAAAACGTTTTGTTTGTGGTTTTGTAATGTGTCAATTTGGGAGAAGTGATCATATGAACATAGTGAAAGGCATTGCAACTAGTGTAGTTCCAATTAACATCCATCCAAATCATAAAGGTGAAATGAAGGAGTGTTCTACAACCAATTTAACTTAGTCAGATCCATCAACAATATAGTATTTCAATTACTTTTATGCATTTCTTTAGACAATCCTTTCGTTTTCTTCAATGTTTCTTTTTTTCAGGGAACAAATTCTGCGTGTAAAAGGAGATGACAATATCCACATTCCCTTTCTGCTAGTGGGAAACAAAGCAGATTTGGATGATAAGAGACAAGTATCTTTAGCAGAAGCTGAATCACAAGCAAGACAGTGGAATGTGCCTTATGTGGAAACTTCTGCCAAAACTAGGAGCAATGTAGATAAGGTCACTTTCTTATATATTAAATAAGAATTTTACGTATTTAACAACAATTTCAAAAGCCTGACGAATTAGGTTGAAAAATTACCAAGATAATATTTATACCTCTTTTCTATCTGTTTTAAAAATGACGAAAAAGAAGTAGGTATATCGTTGATTATAAATCAATATTTAAGCAATGTATTTTATTCACTTTTAATATTAATTTTCACCCTCCTATATTTATCATCTTCATTTTTTAAAAGGTTGTTGAAGCGTGCGTTAAGGACAGTCATTACAGAACATAATGTATAATTTGTTTGTTTTTTGAAATGTCATTCAAATAGAAATCAAGTTTTTATAGTAAAGGAAAGTCAATTATCTCATAAGTTAATAATTAGATGATATAATTGTATGGATAATATAAGTGGAAAATAATTTAAATGAGTGTTAGGATCTTATGGATTTTGCTTATTGAAACCTTGGAACAAGAGAAAGGTCTTAATTTCCTCATACACAAACATTTTTATGTGATGGTTTAGAACAAATTTCCTGAAATTCTTTAGATTGTTCTGTAGAACTTTAATCATGTCAGTTCTTTATATATAATTATTATATTTAAAAGAAATTCAAAATTACCATTACCTTTTCTTTTTTTTTTTTTGTGGAATTATTTGCCACTGACAAATTGGTTTTTATCAGTTTAGTTTATTAGAAAATCCTTCACTAATTATTTTTTGTTCTGTCAATTGTCTTGTTAAAAAAATTAAAATTTACGCTGTAAATTATTATTGTATAATACTAAATTTGATACTGTTTACAGTATGAAATATAGTACAAAAAATGAATATTGTTAATAAGTTTTTCTCTCACGAAATAGTTATCTTAATTGCTGTTCAGAAGAATTATTTTTTCTTTTCCTTTTTTTTGAAATCTTATGCCAGTTGTTTGTTTTCTATTCCATTCTTATTTAAATTTATTGTTTTGTTTCCAGGTATTTTTTGATCTTATGCGAGAAATTCGAAATTTAAAAGTTTCTGAAAATAAAGTAAGTAATGGACCCAAGAAACCTGGTAGAAAAAGAAGATGTGTGATAATCTAAACCCATGTTGAATGTACTAAGTAGTATTAGTGTTTTCATTTTTAATGAAATGTGCCACTTTCTATAATTTCTTTTATTCGTGAATAATTGATTGACTTGTGCTTCTTAGTGAACTTCAAAATTCAATTTATTAATTAATATAATGCATGCCACTGTTCCTACACTATCACCTGTAATTGGCTAATAACTTAGGATCACTGGATTTCTATACAGGTTATTGGATTGATGATAAAGAAAGCCAAAATGTTATCCATTGTTTAACTTTCCCATACTGTGATTGCGCTTTTTTATTACTTCTAGAATTAATATCTATTATCGTGATTGCACTCCCAAAGAGTCATCTTTAAATTACCAAATCAATTCAATAATAAAGTTTTTCGATAGTTTTTAACTAGTTTCTGAAGATTTACACTATAAAAGCAAAATGTAATTAACCTTTAAATTTAGAAATAAATTTTGCCTCCTTTTTTTTACCAAAAATCAAGTTTTAAAGAGAATTAATTCTAGAAATCTAGGCACCCTAAGTTCCTTTTCACCCCCATTCTTTGCTGAAACAGGCTTCAAATGCTGAGTATTGAATCAGCAATCCAGTATCTAAAGTAGAGATCAGTGCTACGAATTCTGCTCTATAAAGGAACCAATTTTATAAGAATTTTATACATTTCTAAGCTATTGAAACTAAAATATTTATATTTTAATACATTATTTTAAATTTTAGAATCTTTAAATGTTGTAAGATTTTCAAAACTGCATACAGCTTATTTTTCGAACTCTCGTGTAAAAATTTCGGATCCTCCAAATACAAAATGCCTATAAAAGTTGCAAAATTTGCACATTTATGTACTCAAATTTTATTTACACTATTTTTATGTTCCCTTTGTTGAAAAATTGATAATTTAAGTTGTTTTATATTTTACACATTTTATTTCGTTTAACTTTTATCGTTTAATGATTTGGTTTTGTTAAATATCTTTGTAAGACTTGTCATTTACAGTTTTGTAACCTATTGATGAAACACTTGTGTGTGTTTTTGTGTTATGCAGCTCTAAAAAAGTTTATAGCAAAACCACTTTTTCTGTAAATATAATTTTCTTATGTCATTAGTAAAGTTTGTAAAACTATAATAACTGTATTATGTTATATTTGTTTTCAGAATAAAATGTTTTTTTTTTTTTATAAAGAGTCACAAATTGTTCTGTTTGTTGTTGTGTTTAAATCTGCTCATTGCATAGCTCCTCAGTCCAAATATTGCTATGAAACAAAAAAAAATTTCATATTCCATTAATTTTACTATTCTCAATTTATATTAAAACATTTAAATATATTTCTCCAAATGAAATTATTTTTAAAGTTCAGCAAATAATATATTTTACAATACAATGGTAACAATTGTAAGAAAGAAGAAATACTCATGTGTTATAATGATAATGTGACACACAAGTCGAAGGAGAAAATTCCCCCAGGTTACCTTACATCACCATTATGGTTTACGTTTATATTGCCGACATCGAAATATTTACATGATTATTTTGTCAATAACTTACATTGTCTGTACAATCATTTCGTTTTGTTTGTATTTCGTAACATGATAAATAATTAATTTTTAAGTTTTAGAACTCAAAGAATCATAAACATATTTTTAGAATAAATAATTCTATAAATGAATATAGATCTCATTTGATTTTAATAAAAACTTATAATTGTTTTTTTTAAAAGAGTTTTATTTTTGAATCTTTTTAAAAATATTGCATTAAAAATATGTTATTTAATAATTTAGTTTTTTCTTTAAAAAATCCGTTATTAATTTTTTTGTTGAGTTTCTGGTTTAACACCATTCATTTAGTTTTAAAACACAAAAGTGTTAAAAATCTTTAAACTATGTTCAAGTTTGAAATAAAAAACGAAAAAAAAAAAATACATTTTAATTAAAAATTTGATTCCCAAAAATTCTCCCCTATTAATAGGAGAGAATTTTTGGGAATCAAATTTGTCTGAGAATAAAACTGAGCGAAGTCTGAGACGGTTTGAAATGAATAAAATTTTCTAATTTGTGTTTAATTTTTCTCCAAAAATTTGTCTTTTTTTTAAATTTATTTTCTTTAGTTTGCATTCCGTCAATCCCTACATAAATTGTTTAAGAACTTTGCATTTTTTAGTCATAAACCTCATTACATCACAGTCTGACTTGTAGACTGAGAGCATAATAATGTTTTTTTTTAAATAAAAAAATATTATAACTGATGACTTTTCGATATACTTTCTATGCAGTTAAAAAAAAAATTGGCACAAAAAGAGAACATAAAGAAAAACCACAGTTTTGTAGAAATCAGAAGTGTTTGTAATTTTATTTGCTAATATAAGTTACTTCAACACAGCATTGTTTGACAAAAATTGAAAATTATTTATTGATTTTTAATTATGTTCAGCTTGCTGGAAAAATAGGTTGATAATTTTTAAGTATTCAAGTTTTTATTCCGTTTGAAATTCCACACCATTCTTTTCTGTTCATACGAAATTCGTGCAGTAATAAATAATTTTATTTTTAAAAACGAACAACTTAGCATTTTTTTCAATATTTTAATTCTAAATTCATACTAAAATTGAATTAATAATTTATTAGATGAACCTATAAACTCGATGTAATCAGCTTAAATAATTAACTAAAAATGTTTTAATATTTTATTTTTATAATTGTATGGTTTTGATTTATAAATATGACTTTTAAAATTCGATTTCTCAGGAACTATTAAACTGATTTCGTTTAAATTTTGTACTTTGCGAAGTTTAAATTACATTGTTTAAAATGGTGTAAAAAAATGCATACCTTACAGTTCTAACTTTTTTCGACTATTATTAAATAAAAAATAATTTTTCTAAAAGTTATTTTTGCATGGATTTATCTTTAGATAAAAGACTTATAATTTTGCGCAAAAATTTTTCAATTTGCCTAAGTTCTCTGGATATGGTGAAATACGCAAAAAAATAAACTTTAAGGGGTCCAATCTTTGGACCATTCTCCTAACCTAACTATTAGGGCCATATTTCCCAGACTGCGATTATATTTTGGAGGATCTGAATCCGTCGAAAAAAAAAGGTATGTTTATTCAGAGAAAGTATTTTTGTGCCTAATTTAAAAACTGAAAATATCGTCCCCTCTAATTAATTAACATATTTGTAGTCACCCTCTCGAAACCATTCAGATTGAGTCCTGGAACGTTAAGATCTGATCAAACGATCACTCGAGGTGGTCAATTTATTTTCTTATTTTACTTTTGCCCACTGTACAACAATTGTGTACAGAGCAAACGAATGATTTCACACACTCGTTTTCTTGCTTAAACATTTCTATAATAGCGAATCTTTTGCTTGAAAATTCATGAAAACAATACTAAACTAAAAGACATAAACTATTTCATATAATTAAAGCGATAGACAAAAAGAAATGAATACACTAATTAAAAAAAAGGTTTCTTTTTTATTCTATAAAGCAATAATTTAGTCCAAGGTTGTTGTTTTTTTGCCTCAGCCTGTAATTTGAAACTTTAAAGAAAGTCACCAAGTTTTTTTTTATCTTTAATTTGTTTCTTATCATAAGGGAACAGGGCTGCAAAAGAAATTATACCTTTGCTGCAATTAGTTTTCCATTTAGGTCGGGATAGCCTGGTCGGTAGGGCGCTGGGTCCATGTTCGTGGGTTCGAACCCCGCCGGCCGAAGACTTCCCGTGTAGTAAAGTGACTGATGCACGTTAAATCTGTCGAATCGCAAAAGTCCTCCATGTTACCATAACAAATCAATACCTCTGGGAGTACTGGATTGGAGATCGATCGTTCTCTGATTCAGGTCAAAATTACGGTCTGTGGATGAATGAAGGGGTCCGCCCTATAAATGGGTGCGACGTATGGTGTGGCAGAAGTCGAATTCTTGGCCAAAGATGGCGCCACTAAAAAACAAGAAGAGCACACTCTGCCTTAAATTTACTCGGTTTCACCAAGCTGGCTTGCCCGTGTGCATTAGAAACAACAACAGTTTTCCATTTATATCTAATATATATATATATATATATATATATCAATATTCCAGGGCTCTCTGCCACTCACCAACCCAGATGACTTGCTTCCCAATAATCGTTGTTTCTTGGCATTAAACAGTTTTTTCTACGAAATTAAAAATTATTCATTGAAGTATATGTACTGAAAAGAATTCTGTTAGCTTATATTTATGTTTCCACGCCCAAAGACTTTCTTACTGATTATGTTGTTGTTGTCGTCTGCCATTAATGCAGAGGGAGTGCCCTCTATGGCCAAGAATTCGACTTCTGCTACAATCATACGTCACACCCGTTTATAAGGCGAACTAATTTATCCTACCAAAAATCGTAATTTTGATCTGAACCAGAGAGCGATCCATCTCTTATTCAGTACCCCCAGAACTATTCATTTGTTATGGGAACTCGGAGGACTTTGTGATCCGACAAATTTTACATGCACCAGTCACTATTTACCTCACGGGGAGTCTTCGGCCGGCTGGATTCGAACTCCCGTTTTCACATACTTGAGTTCAGGGCCCTGCCAACCAAGCTATCCCGGCCTCTTAATGACTATAAAAAGATTTATGAGTGAACATAATGATTTTGCTTAGCTATCATTTTGTAAAATTAAAGGTATATTTTTTTTAACATTTTGGTGAGTGCATAGCAGTAAGTGAGTATTTTCGTTTACCAAACAGGATGAGATATTAAGTATAATTTGTGCATGAAGCTAATCGAATCTGTTTAACCGTAATTTATAATAATGCAATTTTCTTTAAAAAATAATAATTTTGTTTAAGTGTAGAATCGGGGTCCTTTCTGATATTTAGTGATTTGANAAAATTAATTAATTTAAATATTAAGTATAATTTATAGGATATATACTTTCTTTATAATGCCATTACATATTTCTATTAATATAAAAAGTTTCAGAGCTTTTTATTCACTTTACTTTTTTGGGATTTTATGAACTGATAAATGACAGTTTTCGTGAGAAAGGCCCATATATATATATATATATATATATATATATATGAAAATAAACCAAGGGCCAATCATATAACAGTAAATAGAAATTGCGGTAACCCGATGCTGACATCATTAAAAGCAGAGACAGCAAGAAAAGCAGAAAATGAGTTTCAGCAAAATTTTCTATTCAAATTTGCCCCAGATTTTACATTTTAACACTTTTTCTAATATCAGTACTTGAACTTAGAAAAAGAAATATTTCTTATAAGTGTTATTAGAAAAAGTGCTTAAGAGTAGAAATGGGGGACCCTCTGATATTTGGCGATTAGAAAACATGCGCATGTATTAAATATATTCAAAAAAGGATATATTTTATTTGAATTTCTGGATTGCACCCAATCTAATATTCTCTCATGGATTTTTTAAATCAAAATAGTTTATATGTCTTTGAGGACTAAGGGATCCACTCTCTGCCTTTGTCCCGTAGCGGACTGATCGTTAAGACACAGTTCAAAGCATATCATCGAAGACACGCATCACTGACTGCGGTCAATGTGCGTTTGGGTGACCGTTTGAATCAGTCTGCGTAGGGACCTAGCGTGTGTGGTATTGGTCCTCGTTAAACTGTTCTACCGTAAAGTGCTCGACTTCGCGTGCAGGTCGTCGGGCTACAGAAGCGGGAGTGCTATCCCCTCTGCAGAGGATCAAAATTGTTATGGCTCAGGTTTCGGATCACCCTCACGGATGTTTCCCAGACCGTCGCCAATAGCCCATTGTGCAGCTCTAGTGCGACGTTAATGANTAAACTGTTCTACCGTAAAGTGCTCGACTTCGCGTGCAGGTCGTCGGGCTATAGAAGCGGGAGTGCTATCCCCTCTGCAGAGGATCAAAATTGTTATGGCTCAGGTTTCGGATCACCCTCACGGATGTTTCCCAGACCGTCGCCAATAGCCCATTGTGCAGCTCTAGTGCGATGTAAATGATCTACAACAATAATGAAAATAAATCAATGACATAACGGTAAATAGAAATTGTAATTCAGTTAATGAATTTTGACACCAATTTAAATAAGTTTATCTAAATAAGTGGCTTATTTAGGTAATATCCTAGAATTATGTACATTAAAATGAAAAACCAGCGCTTTTCACTTTTAAAATCTTTTAGTTTAGAAAACACTTTTGAATTTAGAAAACATTCAAAATTAAAAACGTAATAATAGCAGAGTAGTAGAGTAAGAAAAATACCTTTATATTAAATATTACAGGTGCCTTTATATTAAATAAATAGGAATATAAACGTATTTTAAGGGAAAGCCATAGCTTAATGACTTTTATTAATTTTATCCTGAGAACAACCAGAAATATGTATGGAAATTGATATTGGAAACTTTGTGAGACCATTCTGTTTTCATGTAATGTTTTTTTTTTCTCTTTTTTTCCGAATGGCAGGCACTGAGCTTTATTCGTTTCGCCTTAGAAGATGCCAGAGGTACCCACTTTACCCAGTGGGTACCTGTGAATCAAAGTAAACCCGTTCATAGGGTGGGCTACATTCACACATCACACACAACAGAGGACAACACAAGAGAGAGAAACATCCATGCCCAAAGCTGGATTCGAACCCGCAGCCATTGCCTTTGCAGTCAGGCACGTTAACCGCTCGGCCACATGGCCGGCGTGCTTATGTAATGTAAGGGAAACATTTTAATTATTCGAACACTAATTCGAAATTTAAATAAAGTCAGGCGACTTATTACTCATTTTTCAGACATAAGAAGAGTACGTAGTTCTAAAATAAATGTTGTCTCTTCAATAGTTCTGGCTGACCTAATTACGCAGTGTAAAAATAATAATAATAAATAAAATTAGACTTTTTTAGTTCATAAGTAAAGATTTTTTATTGAAACTTAAAATTTTTTGATAAAAATTGTTTTCAAAATTTTTTTTTTGGTAAAATTAAAAGATATAAAATTATGGACTTATGTATACTTTTTGCATATTTTAATGTTTGAAGTATAATATGATTCATAAAGCTATGGAATGTAAAGTTCAAATAGGCCTGTCCCTGTCATGTTATATCATTAATGTAGTAAAACGATTTCGCATGCATTAGGTTTTAACTCTAATAAGAAAATACATATTTTTTTTCTATTTTTTTACACATATGTTTCCCGATGTGTTTTGGATGTCTCTTCTCTAAAAAAAAAGAGATACCATTTTGTTTTCGCTTGCATGAGAAAAAATATCAAAGTTTTTTCTTTTTTAAATTTAATAAGCCTCAATAAAGAAGGAACGTTACAATACTTTCAGATCAACTGAATGACTTTTCATATGGAAATCGCAGGAATTCGTCTCATGCAACAACGCTCCCTATAATTCGTTGCTATCGCTAAATGGATAAAATTGAAAAATGAAATATTCCTTGTTGTCACCCGTGACTGTCACTGTCATTCGGCCTTGCGTATGATTCGCTGAATTATTTCTTCATGCGAACTAAATTTTTTTGGTAAACTGAAAGTTTCTGAAGTTATTTAAATTCCTCATCCAATTTACCGAGTATGTGTGACTATTATACCTCAGCAATATTATTAACATTCATTTTATTGTTCATTTAACACTTAATACCATCTGTCATGTTTGTTCAGCACCTTTCGAGATCACTAAACAAAGAATTTATCCTAGTCAATAAATAATATGTACTAATGATAAATTGTATTATTATTATGGGAACAAAATAGAATTTCCCCATTTATTACTTGTTATTTTAGTATCTAGAAGTGCAGCCATCATTATTGGGTTAATATGTCGACTGGATTAATATTAATTCTAACACGTCTTCATGGTAGGGAACAATCACATTTGAAATAAAAACTTTTCACAGAAAACCTTTTCCTTTAAGTTTTATTTTATTATTAGATTTGTTTTTTACACTTCAAAAAAAATAATGGATATCGATCCACCCAATCTTTGCCCTAACCTAAAAAGATCGAATAGTGCTCCCATGATAAACGAATTGGGAAATACGTCAACAAACTCTCAAGAACTAAGATCACGAGGCAGCAGTACTCCAGTGGCTCAGAGAACTCCTAGATTGATGCAAACACGGCGATTTAGTGGCAGTTTTAGCCCTAGCCGATCCTCCCATTCTCCAACTGCACCTTTGTCACCACTTGTTTTAAGCAGAGTGTCACAAATCAAACAAGAGGAATCCATGGATGTGGTTTTCCGAGAAGCAGCTCATGAACGAGAAACGAAATCTAAATTACAAATATCCCATTCGCTTGAGGATTTAACATTAGACGAGGCGTCTTTTGGAGATAACAAACGTCAGTCAGTTACTGATCCACTAAAAATACATACTTCGCACATTGTAATGTGCAGCTCTCCTTCTCCGACCAACACTGGTCGGCAATGTTTCTCCCCGTCGACATGTCTCCCTGTTCAACACAGTGCCTTTTCTTCCACTCCCAGTCCGAGTCCTACACGTAAAAACTTCACGAGATGCAGTCAGAGTCCGATTTCATTGAGACCTAGTCAGCTGTCTTTGAAACGAAAATTCGACATGGACAGTGATGATAGTGATTACATGCCCAGTAGTGCTAAACATTTAAACACTGGAATGTCGTCTCCCGAATCCGAATTAAGGCCAAATCCTCCACATATTCAAAATTTATCTTTTAATTCTATGGACACTTGTAATAGTTCTGATCAAAGCGATTCTAGGAGAAGCACAGATTCCATATCCAGTTGCATTAGTTCTCCGTACGGAACATTTAAACCTGTCGAACCAGCTCCGTCACATCAAAAACCTTACAATTAGATTTTGTTAGATGGTTTCCGTAGTAGTAAAAATATTCTGTGCCAAAAGTCAACATTGGATTTGTATGTTGTCTTTGTGTAGTATCTGCATAATCTTTAAATAAGTTAAATACTTAGTAGGAAAACAAAATTTTTGTGATAATTCCTGATATAATTAGTTATTGTAAAGGACATATCAGATGGTATAACTTAGGTAACCTTTGTTATACAAGTCATGTAAATAATATAATACTTGTAATATTTCTGTACATATTTCAGTCATCAATATATTTCATTTAAATTTATTCACATAGCGAAAACAGTTAGTTGTAAAAGATTTAAAATCTCTTGGTGTTTTTTTATTACTTAAAATCAAATTAAAAAATAGTGAGCAACTCTTCTGACAATATTATACATTATTAATTATAACTGTTTTTTTTGTTAAATTTATGTATTGCTAAAGGTATAGATCTGCTTTATCCATTCCTTTTCTAACATAAGTATGTTTGAATACCAGTAGGTAATTAGTTGGATTAAAAACTAACGGTATTCAATGTAGTCGGAAATATAGTGTGTTACCTCTTAAAACTTTCATCTTTGTGGAAATTCATTATAATTTTGTTCATAATAGATTATTATTTTTAAAATTTTGTGGTTTGATGTAAAATGGTTGTCTAGATGTGGAAGTTTTTGAAGCAAAATTCGATTTTATATATTAAGACTAAGCTTAATTATAAATTTTTTTTAGGCATTCAGTTTAATTTGTTCTTTTATAATTTTAATATTTTAGTACTCTCAGGGATATTTCCGTATTGATGCCTGTTACCATCGCCAAAAGGTTTTTGTATTTTGTACTGCAAAAATTTTTACGAGATTCGCCCTAGAGTGGCTATGAGTTATACCCTTCATGTTTCCTTTTTTGTATTGTCTTTTTAGTTTTTCATGTGCCACCGTCTGAATGTTGATAAAACCTGGAAATTATTTTGAAATGAGTACCTGTAAGAAAATCTTCCCATGTTTACTGTGCAGGGATTACAAAGCTATCTTAAATATTTAATCAACAATTAATGCAGCAAAATTCTTTTATGCGTAATTCTCAGCATTTTTTAAAAAAAAATATTTTACACAAATTTATTTATTTTCGCCTATAAGTTTGTATGAAAAATTTTGTTTAGAGGAAAGGTAATTTCACTAAGTTTGCTTATTTACTGATATTAAATAATCCTAAGTAACATAAATATTCTACAATTAATTGCGAACATCTCTTACAGATTGATGACGTTCTTTTCCTTAAAAGTCAAACAATTTAACAAATTAAAATATACCTTTTTATTAAACAAGATAATTTATTATTTTTTATATAATTTTTGCTATATTCTCTAATCATTATTTTTTTAAATAATTTTGATGTTTTAAATTAATTTCTGATTAAAAAAATTAATTTCCTGAAGTTAGCAAATAAATTTTTTCAGTTATTTCTTTAAAACATATTACTTCTAATATTAAACAACTTTTCTTTTTATAATATATACTTATATTTGTTTTTATGTATATATTAAACATTTAAGTGCGAAATTAATTTTAAGGATTATAAATTAAATCTTCTGATCTTCTTGTTATAAAGGTTATTTTATGAATATGTAACTAAAGTTATAATACATAGAAATTTAAAAAATAATGTAACAAATTGTTCCAAATTGAAAATTAAATGAATTTGAGAATTAAACTTAGCTGATGGTCCTAAATTTTCGCAATTACCCAATTCCTTACTCTTTAATCATGTCATTGTTTAAAACAGCTTCAATGATAACTCTTCATTATATTATACTAAATTATTTCACTGTAAATAATCATGTGTAAATTGTAATATATATCTTACTGTATTTATGCTGTAGCTGTAAATATACCTGTACTAAAAATATTGTTTTAATTGATGCATATCGTAAGTGTTAATTTCTAGAGCTTTTCTCTTCAGTTTTTGTTACTCATATGTGCTTATCCTGTTAATCGCAGGTTAAGTGAAACAATAACTTAGAGGCAATATATAATATTAAGAGCTTTTTATATTAGTCATTAATTTGTATTATAGTAAGTTTTGTCTTATTCATGTTTCTTATTGTTGTGTTATTCAAGTTTTTGTTCTTTTGAGATTTCAGGAAATTTGTTTAACCATTTATATTCCAATTTTGTGAGACTCTTATAGATGGTGTATTTATAAACTGAACCTAATCCAAAGTAGCAGATTTTCGAAGCAAATTTTCAGATCTGAGTTTTCAATTGTTTCTTTTACATATTATGGAATGGTTTGAAGAATGAACAAGTAGCAAAGATTTAGTATACTTCTCTTTAAAGAACTTTGAGATGATTTTTGTTTATGATTATCTAAGGTCCGGTTTTCCAAATTCTTTATAGACCCATAGATTTACCTTTCTTTAAGTTGAAGTAAAATTGTATAAATGTGTATGTAATTTGTATTGTATTTTAACTTCATACAGCCCATGGAACTGCATTCACTGAAAAATATTGACACAATTTAAAAACTATATGTTTGTCTTAGAGTGGAGATTGTATTCAAGTAAATATATCTGTCGAAAGTCAAAGTAGAATTACTGTTGTGTCTCATGCAAATTGACTTTAGCAACCACTGTTAAAACATACTCTATTACACACTCAATTTAATTAAATAATTTTAAATTACGTAAAATATTTCAAATTCTTTCATGGCATTTTTTTTCTTTTTATTATTGAAGTTGTTGTATTTTTCATTGTTAAATTTCATAATATGCCAATTATGATAATTTTGCTGTATAAGTCATGCTTGACATTATTTAAGATTTTTAAAATTAAGTAATACATTATTTAAAAGGTATTTTATTTATTTTTAGAAATAGCTTAGTTTAGATTGTTTTTGAGATAACTGTGGTAATTATTTAATATAGTTATTTATTCTTAAATAGAGTAGTTAATTAACTTGAAAATAAAAGTTTATGTGATATTTAACTATAATTGTTTATTGATTTGTATTTTTTTATATATATTGGAAGTTACATTTAAGTTATTAAATTCAAATAATCATGGTAAAATCTTTTTAAATTGATATGTCATGGAAACAGATTTTTCACTTTTAGTTATATATCTGTCTTTTAGTTTATACTTTATTTTTTTAAATTTGAACTTAAGGTTTGAATCAACAGTGAATCTGTGCTCTTTTATAATAAAGTATATTTATTCAATGTACTGTATTAACTTAAACTTACTTATATTCAAGCCATGTTGTTACATAGGTGCTAATTGTTATTCTTACTATTTTGTAAGATTGAAATTTTTTCGTTTTAATATTATAAACTTTACTGATCTATCAAATATTACATAATCGTTAACCTGCAATATTTAGTTAAATGTCATATTTTATTTATTAATTTTAGACAAATATTTCTGCTTTACTTTCTTTTCTTTTGTGAATTTCATAATACATTTTATTTTAAAATTTTGTGTTAACTTCTGTTAATGATTATTTTTACAAATACAAACTAATATTGTATTGCACAAGCTAAAGCTATAACAGCTAATCATTTTAAATACATTAAAAAAAAATTCTTTTTATTTAATAGCAGTTATCTTAATATTACTGATTTCTTCAAGAATTGAAATATGAAACTAATTTTTTATTTTTTTAGTGACTTTTATAGAATGATTTCTGCATTAAATTCTGTAAACAAGTTGGAGCAATTTGCAATGACTTATTTTAAATTATTGTTATATATGCATTTTGCTTTCAAATAAATATTTTGTAGTTGTTCTACTCTTACAGTAAATTCTAATTTTCTAGCTGTGTTTGTTTAAACCTGGTTTAGAATTTTTACAGAGTTATCATTTTAAAATTTTTTTGTGCTGTATTCAAAAATCACTTAGCTTTACAGCTGTTTTAAAATATTTGTATAATGTAATTTTACTGGATAAATTTCATTTGATGACTTGAAAACTAATGAATGTAACTCAATGTTGTCTATTTTCCTTACATTTACACTTCAGTGTCATTTTCATTGTACCACTTCACTTTTTCAACTTCAAAATCTTTAAATTCAGTTTATCAGTTAAATTGCACTATTTTGTTTGTAAATGTGTTTTGTTAATATGTATATGACAATAAATAATTTTGACTGTTCAAAAGGTGTCTTTATTGAGTTAGTTATTTTTATTTCTGAAAAGAAACAATGTTTTTTGAAAGTTCTTAACACATTAGAAAATGTATAGTATTTTTTACAGTAATGATTTTATATTTACTCATAAAATTAGCACTGTAAGAAAAGTAACAATTGTGTGTGTATTGGTGATAACATAACTAAAAAATCTGGGGTGACTTGGAGTAAGTTTTTAAAACCTAGCCAACCTATTGAACAATCTTGCTCCAATACTTTTCTAACTTACTTTTCTTTGGTCTTCTGCTCACGCTTTAATTTTTAATTTTTTATTTATTACTTTTTTTTTTTTTTGCAAAAAATGTTTTATTCTTGTTTTTTAGTAGATAAACTAATTTGTATTTCAAATTAAAAACAAAGATCTTCCATTTGAAGGCGATAATGGATCAATGGATAGAATAGTTGTGGAAGATCTAAGAAAAGTAAGTTATTATTAACCAATTTTTTTAAACATTAGACACTTAGACATATTGTATTATAAATAAACCAAATTTGGTTCTTAAAAATTTATTTTGGACATAGTTTAATTGAATTTGCTTCTTTTTTGTAGTTATTTGCAATGTCACGGATAATATCTTGGCTATCAACAAAGAATGGCAAACGTTTTACAGCATGGAGCATTGGGGTTTCATGTTTTTCAACTTTTGGTGCTGTTTTTGTGATACATGGACCTTATAAAGAAAATGTTAGAGAACTTGTGCAACTCCATAAGTAATGTACTACCTTTTTATTTATAATTGAATTGTGAATTTCTTATATAAATTTTTTCTTTATAACTAAAAATCTATTGTTCAAATTCTTCATCTCTGAATGAATGTATTAATATGCTGTACATTATTTAAGAACAATACAAAAAATAAAATTATTAATACAAAATACTAACTATAATTGTTAATATTAATTAATTGTTAAAAATTAATCTGAAAAAATAAATAAAAAGTTGGATTTTTTATTTTATTCAGTTAAGATTAAAAAAAAAGAGATTATTAAATAAGAAATCATTTATTCTCTTATTCTCCATTACTTCTGACAAAACATACATTTTACTATTTTACATATTTAAGCACATTATCTACATATTCAATATTTTTGAAAGCACTTCCATTGAGCATAAAACTAAATTGGTACAAATTTAAAATTATACTACATTTAGTCTTCCTTCCTTTCTCTATACTTTAAGCTATCAAAAATTTCTGTTGCGAGAAAAATTGAGTTTTCCATCTATATTTTTTAAAAAAGTTAATTTTTTTTACTTATTCATTTATTTTTTTACAAGAATCGGCAGTAAAGCATTGTTAATAGCTAATAAATAACAGACATTTTTGTTAAGCAAAGTATTTTCAAAATATTTCTTGAATTATTTAAATAAATAAGTATTTTTTTATTTATTCATTACCTTTAATTATAAAATGAACACAGTTAGCTTAATATTTTGTAACTTTTTTTTTTGAACTCATAAACTCATAAAATTTTGAGAATATTAAGTGAATTGTTTTATACTTATAATTAGTTTGATAACGGTTGTACTTTTATTTTTTCAGTTTTAAGTTGGAATTTTGAAATTATTTAAAGCATTACTTACAAAAAGAGTTCAAGAAAAATTGAAAGAAATTAAATGAAAGTTTCACTAGAAAACAGTTACATTTTAGAAGTCTTAACTGGGTATAATTTAAAGTTCAAAAATTATAATTTTTTAATTTATTATGATTGGCTAACACATGAGTTTTGAATTAGTTGGTGAAATTTTTTTTTATTTTTAATTATCGATAAAATTGACTGATTTAGATTCAAGTTAGCAAAATATAGGCTTATAGATTGTGCTTTGTGTTTCCATTTTATATTTGACCTAATGCTTACTTTTCTTAGTTTTGTTTATATAAACATATTTACAAAATTGCCTTTTTTAATTTTTTAAATTCCCTTTTTTTTACTCACTCAGTGATTTTTATTTAGCCAGGATTTAGATTCGTGAGGGATTTTGAATTTCAGAAATTACTTTAAGTATGAGCTCATTCTTTCATACCTAAACTGTATTTGCACTACATCCTATAAGATCGTACTCTTAATTTATTGGAATTTGACTTTTTAAACTTCCTTTTTTCTAAATAAATAATATGAATAATAGTTATCTCTAATATTTATTTACTATCTTAATAAAATAGAGTGATCCCACCATTTATTTATTTAGTTTTTGGTTCGTAGATAAAATTTAAATACATTTGAACTTGGAACAAAGTTGGCAATAGCAAAAAAAGATCTGAGTCACCCGAAAATTCAAATTAAAAAAGTAAAAATTTTTGGTTTAAGTTTGGTACTAAATTTACACATACTTACAGTACTACATTTTTTTAAGGGAAAAAAAATCACTTTCACTTCTGATTTGTTTTCCTTTCAAAATCTTCAATATTTGTAAACATGTTTAGTAAATGAAAAATATGCATTTATCAGACATTCCATGTAGCAAACAAAATAATATGTTGTGAAAAAGCTTATATCAAGTTCCCAAAAGTTGTCACATTTTTGTTAAAATTTGCCAAAAATGTAGACATTTTTAGAGGTCATAGAAAACTTCCAAAATTTTCCCTCACAGCATTTTTTTGATTAAGTTCCTATTTCTTAAGGGTTAATGAAGAATTAATTTAGAAAATGAAACCTCAAAATTTATTATATTTTCTTAATATAAATATTAAAATATATATTATATAAATATTAAAATATATTTTCTTCCTTGTTAAAAGTTTTTAAATGCATCTAAATATATTTATATCATCATGATAACATCTTTTTCCCCCCCTAGCCGTGGTAAACCAAAGCCTTTATCAGATAAAGTTCAAGGAATAGTAAAGGAAGTAAGTAAGTGATTTGGATTTAGTCTTATTTTTTTTATTTTAAATAATTGTTAACTTTAAATTTCAAATTGTTGTCTATTTATATATTTTAATTCAAGTTGCATAGTGTTCTAAGTTTTATTTCAAATTTAATTTTTATTACTAACATCCTATTTATAGTTATTCTAAAGAAGTTTGTCATTAAATTATTGTTCTGAAAGAATTTTTTTCCAAATATGTACAACTGTTTAAATTTTAAAATATTTTTTGAGGATTTAATAAAATAAGTAATAAGAGGAGTATAATAAATAATTATGCATTCAATATTGTTTTCTAAATAATGTAAACCTTTTCTCAAAAGAGTATCATAAATAAGACTTAGAATATCGCTTCAACAAATTATATAATCAATAAAAAAATTAGGAACTAAATTGCATAGTTATTGGATGAATGTAATGTGATTGCTATTTTTTAAATACTCTAGTACTATTAAAATTTTTTACAAATACTTTTCTTATACATATATATTTTTTATACTTATATACTAATAAATTCACTAAATTATGAAGTCAATTATTTTTTAAAATCAAAATTTCCAAAACTGGACAATTTCAATATTAAAGCAAAATAAAACCACCCTTTAAAATATTCATTATTCCCATTTTTAAAAATCAAAACTTATGAAGGGTTTTATGTTTCACAAATGAAAGGATCAGGTTTTTATCTTGATTGGATACAATATTTTGAATTTTCATTCTGTTCAAATTTATTGTATAGCATCTAATTATTCCAGCCACCCTCTAATAAAAAGTACAATAAGTTGCAGGTGAGGATAACATTTCTTTGAGATGTTAAAAGATTACATTTAATTAAAAATAAAGCAGGGTAAGAAGGAGAAAGAATCTAAACATATGTTAATGAGAGATTAATTAATGAAAGGATTAAATGTTTTTCCTTTTCAACAATATAAATTATAGGATTGAATGGATATCATTTTTGTTAAAACATTTTAACATAAAAAAAAAAAAGATTGAAAAATGTTTAACTTTAATTATAAATTATACTATTTAAATAGCAGTAAGGTAATTTTCTGGGCTTCATGTAAAATATAATTCTTTATTTTTATGGTTGCAATTTTGAAATAAATAAATTACCAAGTTAAAAAATTGAAACAAATGAAATTAGAAATGATAGTAAATGTAAAATTAAGTCGTTAAGTTTTAAAAACTTAAATTATTTGTCTATAAAATCTGCCACTTTTTAAAATTAATATTTTACAGAACTTAAGCAATTATAATTTTTCAATTACTGTATTGGGTGAATATGATGATACTGACATATTCCATCTTGTCTGATCATGAATTACGAATTGGAAAACAAGATTATTGTACTCCTGGGTGATATTTTTTATTTTTAACCCTATGAACAATCTGGCAATTGATTAACATGTTAGAATATACTAGAATTATGCTCGCTATTGCTCGTCAACACCTGGAATAGCCTACTTTTTGTTTTGAATAAATAGCACGCTACAATTTTTGCAATTTTCACGGTATCATCTCACATTGATGAACCATAGTACAGAAATATATATTTTAATAGTATAATTTTTTTAAAATCAATTATTGTCCATTTATGTCTCCCTGCTTTTCATGTCATTTTATTTTATCAAGAATTTTATAAGTTTTTAATGTTATTTTAAAAAAAAATAATACACTTGCTGGCTGATCAATTTTTTATTGTTTGTATTGATGACAATTTGAGAAACAAAGTTATGTTTACTCTAAATTTAGTCAAAGTTCAGAAACTATATCACTAATAGACTTTCTTTTATTCCTCTATAAAAAAATAAAAATTCAAATGATAATTGAGTTCATAAAAATCTTGCAATTTTAAAATCAATAATTTTATTACTTTCGGAACTACTTTCTCAACTATTATTTTCCAACTATTCATAACTTATTTCATAAATCAAATCAAATAAAAATGAGTAATTGCCTAAATTTATTTTATTCTCAAACAGAAAACTAAAATTTCATTATTATGAGTGAACTCAATATATCATGGAACTATTATATATATATATTATTATTATTTTAAAGCTTTTTTGGAAAGACATTACTTGTCAAATAAATTACAGCTGTATTATCTATTTGTTAATTTTTTCTGTATTGTTTCTAAAATTTTAACTGAATTTTTTATAGTTAAAATGCTTTTATTTTAGTCAATTTCATCACATTGAAGCAAAACATTAAAAAATTATGTGCTGAAAATTTATGATATGAGTAAATTATATTAATAATCTGATGTAGAAATCTCATTCTCACCTTGATTATTACATATTATGCAACAAATATGGTTGATCTTACGCCAAACAATTTATGCTTACATCAAACTAAATTAAATATCATTAATTTTGGATATCATTGTAGTTATGATTACTGTAAATAAAAGTTTATACAGTGAAATTCAGATAAATCTTACCTGAAATATTACATATTATGTAACAACTAGGGTTGAAAATCATTTATGCTTTCATAAAAATAAAATATCATTAATTACATATTGATATCATTGTAGTTATAATGCTTACTTATACATGGTTGATCTTACGCCAAACAATTTATGCTTACATCAAACTATCTTAAATATCGTTAATTAATTTTTGATATCATTGTAGTTATGATTACTGTAAATAAAAGTTTATACATTGAAATTCAGATAAATCTTACCTGAATTATAACATATAATGTAACAACTAGGGTTGAAAATCATTTATGCTTTTATAGAAATAAATTAAATATCATTAATTACATACTGATATCATTGTAGTTATAATGCTTACTGTAAATAAAAATTTTTACTTTAAAATTTTGATGAATGGAAATATCATCATCAAAAAATTAACTAATTGAAAACTGTATGAAATATATCTTTAGGCCTTTTATAACACTTTGGTCTATAGGCTGAAGTTATGATGTCGTTTTGGGGGAAAAGAAGACAGGCGTGATGAGCTGAACAATAGTCAATGAATAATGAAAATTTCTTTTTTTTAACACTGAAATTTGAGGTCAAGTTTTTATAGCCATTCTTTAAAAACCCACTTATCATCCATGTTGTTAAGCTTTAGAAAAGTTTTAAATCAATCCAAAAAATTACAACACTAGTCAAACAAACAACTTTAAAACTAAAGCAGAGACCAGAATTATCTAACAAAATAGGCTTAAGACTGGAAAAATGGAACCTGTCAAAAAGTTAACAATCTTTTATTATCCTGAACTCTAACAAAAAAGTTGGAATGAACTTCAAGAATTTAAACATAGCATCCTGAAATAAAAATTGGTAACTATCATCACAACCCCATGGTACCATTTGAGGTAGAATTTAGATCAGGAATCACTCTAAGCTATTGTAACAGCATTGGATTTATAGAAAGAAGATTCTTTTGAATTGTTATCTTCTAAATTTTTCAGACCATAGATAAAATTAGGATTTAACCATGTTCCTTTTTACTATTTTCTGAATAGATTTTTCAGATTTATAATAATGAGAAATTCTAAGTTTTCATCCCAAAGTTGTTGATTCTTTTCTACAAGCTGGAAATAATTTTTTATTTTAGAAATTCAACTTATAAATTTGAGTTGCTGATAAAGAAACAATTGTTTCTTTGAAGTATCAAAAAATTCTACTTATAGAACTTCGAGTAATAAAAAAAAAATTCTGTATTTACGTTGTAATTTTCACTGGGGTTTTGAAAATACTTTAAATTATCGAAAATTGGACCTATATTTCCATAAATTATTATGAAAAAAGAAATGGATGTTTAAATATTTCTAATTAAACAATTAAGTTGTATTTTTTTCCCAAGTGTTTATAAGATGATGCTCAGTAAATACAAACTATGACTATGCAAACTATGCTAGTGACAAAATTATGCATTAAACAAATATTTACATTTATTAAAGTTTTACAATCTATACAAATTTAATTCATTCTTTCTTACAGGTTCTTAAAGATTGCAAGCTAAAAGAGGATGAAAAAGAAAAATTAAAGTTTTTTAATGTGATAGGAGAGGACTTGTTTCATCTTGGCGGTACTAATTCCCCCTGGGGTGCATCAATTGGACTTCCTTTTTTCATTGAAGCTGCTGAGGATATAAATTTTACTGCTTTACGTCTTCAACAGCATGAATCAATAGACTGGATAGTTGAAGGGCAAGATCTCATAGAAGCTCTCACAATACCTGACAATGCAAAAAAATTTGTAATTATGCGAGAAATATACGCATGCGATATTTGGGACAAATTGGACAATACACTGCTAATACCTGTTTGTATTGCATTTTCTGCTTTATTGTCCAAGAGAGTGAATACATGGCGGAATGCATTCAAGAAACCCCTAAAAAGTAGATTAGCTGTGTATGCATTATGTTATTCCGTGGGCTTTATTTTGTACCGATTACTGAAAGATCCAATGAAGCATATTGCAGAAAAAAAATATGATGAACTTGCCGCTTTGACTGGACCTGATTATCTTGAAGGAGGAATTGAGTATTATCAACATATGCTAATGAGAAATAAAGCTCTTAGGGAATTGTTAGGGAAAAAGGGTTTAAAACGGTACGATGAAAATGGTAATGAGAATTATTTTATTTTAGCTCCAAAACTTCCGACTAGTAAACGTGTAGAGTTGTTGAAAAAGCTCAAAGAAGATAATTTTCAAGATGCCTAGGTGAAAATTAGTTTTGTTTCAATTTCTAGTACTACTAAGCATAACTTGTAATTAATTCACTAAATTCATTTTATGTAATGTTTTCATTTGCATCATAGCATAGTAAAATAGATTTATTTGGATGCTATGTTTTCTTCATGCCTTTCTGTTTTAGAATATTTTTGAAAATAATTTATAATTAAAAATATAGTTTTAAAATATTGAAGTGTTTTTATACACCCGATAACTTTTTTTAACATCTTAGATTAAGTCATTTAAAGACTGAAATCTAGAGACAACTAAGATTAATATTCTAACTTGTTCAACCTCATTGTCCTGATAAATCACATTGATCTATTATTCATATTTAAACAATGTATGTTCACGTATTTTAATTAATTTTACACGAACTATAGAAAGATATCCATTTTTCATAACATTGTTATTTTTTTTCACAACAGTTGGTCATTTTTGGCAGTTAATACAGTAGGGAACCGATTATCCGGAATGATCGGGACCATCGCTATTCCGGATAACTGATTTTTCCGGTTTTCTGAATCGCTACAAAAAGCCGTTTTTTTATTGTTAAACCCAACTAAAAAAAAAAATTTTTTGTGGAAATAATCTTAAAAAGAAGAAAAAACGATGAAGTAATACACTAATGATTATTTCCAAAATGATGGTAAGGTAAACATCTTTCAAAAAAGAAAGAAAAATCCTAAAATCTTATGAGGAAAAAAATTAATTTTTTTAAAAATGGCGGAAAATGTATCGAATTTCGTTCCGTTTTTTGGTTTTCCGATTTCCGGATAACTGGTTCTGCACTGTACGTGAAATTTGATAAACATTTATTAATGTTTATATGTTTTTCTACAATTCAATTTGGAGTTTTAAGTTGCACAAGTGAGAATAAAAAGAATGCTTGTTTATATATAAACCAACTTAGTATATTTTAATGAAGTTTAATTTCGATATAAACATTGGAAGAAAGAAAAATCCTTAAGTGCTTTCTTTCCTCTATATCTTAGATTTTCAAGTTGAATTTTTGTTTTCTTGATGTTTTTTTTAAAACTAATTTTGCTAATAGAATATTATTTAACAGCAAAATGGATAACATATAAAGAATTCATATATAGATATATATTTCTGAGTAAAAAAATTCACGTTCAAGATTTCTTACAGTATATACATACACGTGTATTCTCATTTTTTAAAATCATTTTTGATTAAATTGTTCCCATCTTAGTTTTGTTTGAAAACATTAAGTGTTGCCCCTACCTTCTTTTAGGTGTAGATAATTAAAAAAAGAAAATTACACTTATTGTTTTAGCTTTTTGTAGCCCATTTTTTGAAAATGAAATATATGTGCATTGTACTAATAAATGTCCTGATTTTTTTGTAAAATGTTATTCTGATATTTATTTTGAACCACAACGTGGCCCACAGTACTTAACTACCTTTCTAGAAATGCTTGTTGGTATAATTTTGTCACAAAAATCTGTCGAATTTCTAAAATAGAAAATGTGTGTTATATTTCACCAATTCTGATTGGTAAGACCTTTTTTTTAAATTTATTTATTCTGTAAAATGCTGCCAAGTATAGTAAATACCAACTACCAATTTATTTTTGAAAATAACATAACAATGATTAAAAATATATTTTACTCCTTCTGTGCCCACCCATTTGAGGTTTAATGTCATGAGGATATGTTTTTAACCCTTTACTACTTATAAAATATGTATGATATAAAAGCTTTAAATATTTGTTTTGTTTATTCTTGCATATATTCAAGCTGTTAAAAATAATATCCAATAGCTATTAGTTTATTTACATACGTAGTAAATATACGTAATAAAATACTAAATATACGTAGTTTCCCTTAATTCTGTGAAGATAGGCTAAAAACAAAAATCCCTAAGTGTCTTGATGAGGTTAACATGTAAATAAGTTATTCCTTTTTATTTAGTATTGTAGTAGTTTTCATAAAGAAAAAGATTTTCGAATGAATAGCTTTTTTTCCCTTGTTTTTTTTAAGTAGCACTAGCAATTTTTTTGTTGTAAAATCTGGTGAAAAAATATGTTAAAGCTTGACTCATGGTCAAAGACTTTAAAATATTTGTAATTTCAATTAAGGAAATGTTGTATGAAATACAGTAGTTATATTTGTATAGTAATCTCTATTACAACTATACTTATTTTGAAGGAGTTGGTTATTTTGACTTAGGAAAATGAATTGATATTCTCTAGGTAGATATAGAATTACAAATTCAGAATTCTACAGTACAAATAGGCAAGAACCAATCACCATCAGTTTAAAAAGAAAAAGATGGAAATTGATAGGTCACATATTGAGAATGCCTCCTACAAAATACCATCAGTAGCCTTAACATGGGGACGAATGGTGGAAGGGGACTAACATGGGGAAGAGGGAAGATCTTGTGCAAAAGACCGAGTGAGCTGGCAAAAGAAGATAAAGGCTTTATGTGCCACCAAAAGTAATTAAAGTTTTCAAAATAGGTTTACCGATGCAAATGTTCAAAAATTTTCTAAAATACATCATTTATCAATCCCAAAGTGCATTGATCGCATAGATACGGTTCCTAGTAGAACTCCAAAGACAAGCATCGCTGTCGGTGACTCATTGATCAGTCTGAGAAGGGACTGAGGATGCACAGTATCAGTCCTCGTTAAATTGTTCTATCATGAAGAGAAATACTTCACGCACAGGTAGTCAGGCTACCAAAATGAGGGTGCCATCCCATCTGCAGAGGTTAAAAATTGTGATGGCATATCTTCGGAACATCCTCAGGGATGTTTCCAAGACCGTCATCAATATCCCATTGTGCAGTTCTAGTGCGACGTAAATAAAGTACTACTGCATCATTTATCACAGAGGTAGTAGCCATTTTTGCTCAAGCAGCCACATAGTTGGAAGTGGAGGTTAGGGGAAAGCTGCACCTTTTGAAATCAATGCATTCTCTACATAAAAAGCAATAATTTTAAATTAAATTAAATGTAATATAATATAAATGAAATATTAAGAATAGCACACTTTAGAGTAGCTGTTGCGGGATAGATACAGACTGACCAAGAGTCTCTGATTAAAAGCCTTCTATCGTGGCAGGCCATTGTGATCTGCTTATATGCTCTGTGTGAGAAATTGTATAGCACAAGATTACGAAAACAATATATTTATTTCAAAATGCTTTATTATCTATAACTAACACAATAAATAACACACTTTTTATCTCCTAGTAGAGACATTTTACTTTACAAAGATAAAAAAGCAGTTTGTAAAAATGTTCATAGTTTTTTTTTCTAATTTTTTTTTCAAGTTGGAAAAATAGCACTTATGAAAAGAAAGCTTGAAAGATACACTGTACAAAAACACTCGATATTTATACAATTGCACTAATAAATGCATCATCTTTAAAACGAGATTGCTAGTTAAAGAATTAGCTGGAATTTTTGTACCAAGCTGAATGAATATTTTTCTTATTTTATTATTTAATACATATTTGCTATTTTATTTAACAGCATGTGAAATGTGCTTATTTCTTTGTTTATTCAGATTTTTTTAGTTATGGTTTAAGGATTAACTTATACATGCTTTTTAAACAATAAAAATGAGAAATAAATAAGTGTTCAAAGTCTAGGCATCATTATGTTAAGTACTTGTATAAAAATCAAAATAACTCATATTTCCTACTTTTCTTTATTTTGTTTAACTATCAGATGTAGATTAATGATATTGATTGTCTGGTATATATTTATTATTTTATTAATTAGTTTAATGGTATTACAAAGGAGGAAAACAATATTTCTTTAATGGAATTATAGCTTTATTATTAAGAAATGTAAAAACTTATTAAGCTCTTCTAGGTTATATTTTTAAAGGGCAAGTTGCTAAGGAATGTATTGAAGTTTAAATGCTTCATACTATATACCAAATTCTAACTAAATCAGGCAGCAATTTAACAATTACGATATTGTAACAAAATACAGGTTTTATGTAGTTTATTTAAGACTAAAATATTTTTATTTCCAATTAATTTTAAACGTAATATGAATTTTACAGAGCATTTAAAATTTTCAACACTGTACATTGACTTTACGATTTAAAATGGAATATGACCATCTTACATTTATATGAAAATGCTGAAGAAAAAATTACTAAAATTAAAATATATTTATTTTTGTCAGAGCTTATTTAGAATCTTGAAACGGGATTCTTTATTGCTGACAACATTGATAAAAAAGAAACTAAATTACATCTTTAAACATGTTACTAATCACAAGATATAATTCATTTAGGAATAGACAGCAGTTTTAGTTTTTATTATGAACTTATTATTTTTTACTTAAATGGGAGTACTATATCTATACATTAAAATAGCAGAGAAAATTTTTTTATTTCACAAGTCCCATAATAATAATCAAAAGCAAAACTTTTCAGTGACATTTTATATAAATCACAGTTTTCTTAAAATAATTTTATAATATTATTAAGTTCCCTGACCTAGAGCTAGTTGAGCATGCTCTAAATTGATTTTAACTTTTCAAAAATGACAGAGAAATTGCCTGACTGGTGATTTCTTGAATGACCCATTTCATAGTTTCAAGCGAACGTCATAATACTTAATTTAATAATAAAATATTTTTATCTTTAAATCAAATAAGTTTGTGAAAAAACTATTAAAAACAGAATAAAATTTTTACAAAAATAATATTCAAAATTTATTATTTTCAGAAACTTTGAGAACATTCCTACTGTATCATATTTGACTAGACTGCTTAAATAGCACCAATCAGATTTAAATTTTTCAATGCATCCTTTAAATAAGTTTTGAATTCAATGAAAAAAACAACAAAAATTTTTCTTATAGTAAAATTTTTTTAAAGTTCTTTATAGTAAATTGATCAATAAATTATTTCTTTTAAAGATAGAATATCTTTTTAACCAAGTGGACTTTTTTTTTAAAACTCTTTAAGCTTAAAAAGATTTCAATTGCTTCAACAATTCTGTAGTCTTTCACTGGCTTCATGTCAGGGAATTTGCATAATGTTTAATTGTGAATTCACAGTATAAAACATGTCACATACCAAATCTAAAACAATCAGATGGCTTATGTGTAGGGACAAACTTAACAATATTTGCTCATTTTTTCAATGTTTAAGGATTATTAATAACAAACTAATGTGTACCTTTTTTTTATTACTTTGATAAAGATTAAGAGTTAGAAAATTTCATCGAATCAATATCTGATTTACTTATCTGATTTTGCATAGCAGCCAATTGTGCAGTAATAGCGGAGTAAAAGATAAGTTCCCCTTTTTTTAGATACTTGTCACATTAACTTTTTAAGTAGAAATGAGTGTTCTCTTGATGGTTAGCAGCACTATTAACATAAAAAGTCATGCTGAAATTGGTATTAGAGTTAATGATTCTCAAATGATGTCTCCTAAGAAACGAATCTAAATATCAAAATTTAGGACCTTGGGGCACTTTTTACATCACAATGGAAAGACTTGGATTCTTTACTAGAAAACTAGTTAAGGGTTATCTTCTTCACCTTCTTCTTGAATTTTGCATCGATCTATAATATAAAAAAAAGTTTTAAAATAATAATTTCATACTGTAATACACAATAGATTGCAACTACGGAGAAACTTATACATACATTGAAACTTTCATACCAGTTCTATTAAATTAAGATCACGGTAAAATATTTTGGCAACAGTTTTACAAAAATGTATAGAAATATTAAATTTATAACAAACTATAATTCTGGCAAATGAACCAGGGTTGGGGTTTTGGACGTCCTAAACTGGTTTTGGACAGGACACGTGGGTTTTACTGTCCTAAACTGGGTAAAACTGTCCTAAACTGTCTTAAAGTGTCCAAAACCTTGAACTTTGGTAAAAGGTAAAAATTCCGTAGGTGTAACCATTGTATATGTAATAATTACATGTATCAATAAATATTTGATATTTTTTATACAATTTACTATAACTTATTAAAAGAAAATAATATAATATAATAGGAAAAGGTTTATAATTTTTGAAGCTCCACAATTCATTGAACAACAAAAGTGAATACCCAATCTTTTAAATATAAATATGCTTTTAATACTGATAAATAATATTTTTGAATAAGGATAAATATGGCAATATTAAAAAATAATAATTTTTCTTAAAAAAATAAAATAAATTTTTCAAAAATTAACCTATTATTTTTCACAATATTTTTTTTTAAAAATGTTATAATTTCTGCATCACAGGATGATAAAAAAGACATCTATTTTAAAAAAATTGTTTTTAAATATAAATATATTAGTTTAAATTGAAAATACAAAATAATTGAAAAATGTATTAACAGTTTTGAAGGGCATAACATCAGTTTCGGTTACTGACACTGGTGATGTATCACCACTATGCTAAAAGAATTGAACATCAATGAAATAAAAGTATTCTTGAATAGTACTATAGATAAATAAACCTGTTTATGACGAACTAAGCACTTAGTCCCTAATATTTTAACCTGTATGGCAAGGCCAAACTTCAGTTATGTACTATTGAATGAGAGGACTAATACTTTTAAAAACAAATATTCTCTAGTATATTTAATTATCAATTGTTATTAGTGCTATGTTAATTTTACCTCTTAAATATTGTTCAGATAAAATTGTGACATAATTTGAGTAAAAGGGTTTTGGACAGTTTAAGACAGTTTTGGACAGGACGGTTTAAATCAGGGTTTAAACCGTGGATTAATCCATTCTGTCCTAAACCTTGCCAACCCTGAAATGAACAGTTCAAAAGATGAATAAAAAGCAATGCAGAACTAATAAGGAATAAGATAAAATACTGACTTAATAGTGGTAAGACAGGGGTGGTCATGTCTTGGACAGTTAAGAGGCAGAACTGACCAAGGTATGGTATGTTTAGGTATTCAAATTTAGTTTTGAAACCAGTAATAAAACAAACTCATACTACAGCTTTGGAAGCAGTAAGTTTTTATCCTCTTGGGGGGTAATTCATAATATAGAAAAGATTATCACAGTTTAGATGACCTAAAAGAACTCAACATTCAGATTTGGTCCCAGCCAGAGCACAGTGTTGAGTATATGCGTTTTCCGTTTCCAAACTTATCTTATTCAAATCATTTGATGAATTCTATTTACCATGGTTAATCACAGTGCAAGCATTTTTACAGTTCACTTTCTCAATTTATTTCGCTATGCAGTTAGGTAGGTATGATAAGTAGTTCTTTATCAGGAATTTAGACTAATATTTATTTTTCCGCTGTAAATAATGTCAATTAACAAAAAAAGTGTTATCAATGTGGTGCCATATACTTGAAATTGAGACTTGCTTAAATCAATTAGCTGAATTCAATAAATCTATCTGATAGATTGACTGAATGTAGGTTAGTGGCACAAGAGTCTAAAAAAGCTATAATGCTCTAAACTTAAATCACTTTATGAACAGTGATGTGCAGAGAGTATCGTCACAAGAGGGCTACAGTCCTGGCATTTAGCCAAGGGTTCATCCACACTAATGACTTTAGGGCAATAAAAGTTTAAATCTATGACTATTATTTAGAATATGAAGTTAAATTTTTTGACTAGTCAATATTTTATGACAGATATAGATTTCAATCAAAATTAATAAAGACGTTTTAGGGACTTAACTTATTACCTTAAAAAGTTTAGGCATGCATAAAAATAAATTTGAAATATGCATTTGAATTTTTAATTTCATTGTTCCTTTTTACCTATTTAAAAAAAATCTGAATAAGCTATTTTCCTCAGGTAGTGATTACACTCCCTTTTAGAGGCATATAATCAAAGTGTTAGCCTCGGGTTTCCATACACATCTGCGCACCATTGCTTTAGGAAGTCTTAATTGAGGTAACAAAATGATACTGTACATTTTGTTACCTTAGTACTAATGCAAAAAAAAAAAAAACTAGGACTTCTCTGGGTAGATGCTCCTGTATTCAGGGTTCCCTGACTTTTCCCAGTATATCAGGAAAATTTCAATAAGAATGCAGACCATATTTTAAGTTTTTCATTGGAAAACTTGAATCAGAAAAATGAGAATGGAAACATGGAAGTTTCCTTAAAATATGAAATTTTTGAAACAAATAATTTTAATGGATGTTAGAATTATTTAAATCGAATCTCACTAACTGATTACTGTTACTGACAATTGACTGGTCATTTTCCAGGTATTTGTAAAAGAATTACACTTTCCCTGACTATTCTCTGCTTTTTAGAGTCAAAGTGAAATTCCCTGTTCTCCATGATGACCGATTGAAGCCCTGTGTATTGTGAAGCCCTGTGTGTGTGCCCCTGAAGAAGGAAAGCGAGAAAGTGAAACTTTATGGATAAAAGTCATAAAAGAAATTATCGACCACTTTATAAAACATCATATGTTTAAATCATAAACATTTAGATAAAAAACATATGGAGTTTTACATTTTAGTCTGGACAGCCATATATTTTTGACCACTGATGTTTCAAAACTAACCTATAAACAATATCTTAAAAAAAAAAAACAAATCTAATAATTAAACTTACCATTAAATGCTTTTAAAAGAGCTTCACAGATAAATTTGTACTGAACCTAAATGAAAAGAAAAAGTTTATTAAAAGAAAATAAAATTAAATAAAACATTCATCCAAAACCTCTTTTCTTCCATCACTACAAAATATCCACATTTTAACACAATATATTTTAATAATTTTTCTTTAATGCTAAATTTTGATGACAAATGTTAAAAATAAAATGATTTAGAAAATTTACGAGACCTGAGATTAAAGTTTGAATATTAAAGTTTTTTTTTATCCACCCTGATGTGTAGAAATACAATTAGTATGTAAAATGATATCGATTTTAAAATAATGGTATAATTTAGTTTAAATATAAAAATGAGAGAACTAGCCCGATTTCTTTTTAGAAATGGGTTTCTGCTTAACATTTTTTAAAACAGATACTTTAATTTTTATCTCATTCTACTATGCAGAAAACTGCAAAGACTTATATAGACATACCGATTAATCAAAATACTACTGAGTAAGATAACTTGCAAAACCAATAAAAAAAATTTAGTTATTTTTTTTAAGAAATAATTTTAAGATTACACATCTTATAATTTAACTAAAAGTACTAATTTTAAATTCACACAAAATTTATATAATTATTACATATGTAATACAACGGTTAGACCAGCACTATTTGTGAAATTTTTTTCACCTTATGAAAAAAAAAAAGAAATATTGGAAATAAATTTTTTTTTTTTAATAAGTCTACATTTCTCAATGAATGTGTGGAAATTTTAAAATAAATTTGGGACATAGAATCAAAATTTATTGATTTCTTTAAACTATGCGAGTGTGACCCATAAAATGGTAATGGGGTCTGAAATTACTGAATAATTAAAGCTAAAAATATTTCATTAAAATTTGGTAACTTAAGAAAACTCTTAATAAATTTTTTTGCAGCTATCATTTTTATATTCAAAATTTTTTTGCAGCTATCATTTTTGATCAATTTTGATCTGATAAATGTTGTTAATTTTTTCATTTGAAGTTCTTTTCTAGCAAAGCAATGATGCAAAAAGATTAGAGCAAATAATTGGAGAGACCAATGCTCGATTATGCTCACTATTTTTTTAAGATTAAAACTAAATTCATTTTAAAAATGTGAACTTTCATCAATTGCATAGTAATTTTTTTTACAAAACATTTAGTGGACTAATAAATGAAATGTTTTTCAAAACAATTGCATACTTATCTTGGATTAGAAATATTCTATAAACTTTTAAGCTGCCGTGAATTATTTTAATTATGAAACAATCCATTTTACCAAAAGAGTTGTATAAATAAATCAAGACTTTCAGCAGCAAATGAATTAAATTTAAAACAAATACATTTATTCACTTGTTTATAAATAACAGAAAATTATATATATTATATAAATGATAACGATATAATAATAATAAATTGACTTGAAATAAATATTTTACATTTTTATTAACATTATGGCTTGAAAAAGAAATAAATACATTATCATTATTTTAATAGCCTAGTTTTATGAAATATGAAAAGATTTTAAGTTTTTATTAGTAAGCTAAGAGTTGAAGTACATTTTGATTAGTTTGGTGAAAATTAATGGAACATTTGGAAAGTGTTATGCAACATTAGATTAAATTCTTGTTCATTAAATTTGTAGAGTTTTTCATTATCTGTTATAAAAATAACTGAATTACCATTGAAAAAATGTTATAGCAATGTTTTTTTATACAAGCTAGTGTAATAAATCAAGTCAGAAGCAAAAATAGAAGTTGAAAAGATAACAAGATTGGAAATAATGATTCCCCAAAATATAATTCATAGAACCAAAAAAAATACTTTAACATTTGAAAAAAGAATTAATTCTTTATGTTTTAAAATAAGGTAAAATTGATTGATACCAGTGTTCATAATATGATAATTACTATTACAAAAAGGAATGTTTTCAAAGATATTAATAGAATTTAAAAAGTCAAATAAAATATCAGGTTCTTATACAGTAGATCATTATATTTATGTGGAACATTCCATTCAAATATTTAATGAAATTATAGCTTGTTTCAACTAAATAAATATTGAACTTAATATATTTTTAAAAGAAAAATTTAATTGTGCCACTAAAAAGAAAATGCCAGTTATTTTTTAAGAATACTTACCACTGTTTGTACCATCATCACTCTCTGATCTCTCATCTTTTGGACAAATTCCAGAGGATATATTGGTTCATCAGCATCCATATAACCTAAAGCCGTTTCCATTAGTATGAGCACCCCCGTTCTTCCTACTCCGGCACTAAATGCGCAAGAGAAATAATAGTTTTTAAAATTTAAACACAAATTTCAAAGCATGTTTAAAAAGAAAGGGTTTCATATTTATACATAGTAATTAATTTATAAAGAAATAGCTTGAAAAGAGATTTTAAAACAACCTCTTGAATAAAAATGTTGGATTTTAGAATGTTGAGTCGGTTTGAATGTTAAGACTGGAATCAAAGTTAACTATGCCAAGATTTTGCAAAGTATAATTGATTACAAGTAACTATACTTATTAATTACAATTTCAATTGCAATTGTAAGGACAGTTAATATTGAATTACAATTACAATGGTAATATTCGCTAAAAATTCAGATTATGATATAGTGCAGATCAATTTATGAGTCTTAATGTGTAAAATGTTCAGAAAATAAATATTTTTTTACATGCTTTTGCTTCAAAGAAAAAGGGAAACATTTATTTACTTTCCTTAATATTAATACAGCATAAACACAAAAAATGACAGGATTTAAAATCTTAATAGTTTTCAAACTTACACGTAACATAATAAATGGTAACGAAACATATGTTCAATGTTTGACTCTTGTAACAAACATCAAGTTCGTTTCACATTGTCAATGGTTCCTAATGTTGCACAAATGTGTTCTTTAAATTTTTGCTGTGTTTTTGGTATTGATGGTTCATAAACAATGTCATTAGTCTTGGACTTAATCCCATGAAGATAAAAAAATCATGGCAAAGGGTTCAGGAATCTTGGTGATCATGTGATGAAGAGAAAAACCTTGTCACCCATACATCTATTCCAAATGTGTCAAAGCTTATCCTTTAACCCATTCTGGTAAGAAGATTTAATAATAATATATTTTGTACGTAAAAACCTATTAATTTTTATGTAAAAAACTTAAAAGTGCTATCAGATTTAGTACATTAGAAATTTGAAAGCTATTTATCATCAAATTCAACAGTAACTTTAGTTGCATGACAAATATAGCTCATCATTGTGGTGTAGGTACATAAACTATGACGAGTTCTACGTTTATTAAGTTACTGGAAGGGGATTTATCCATTGATTGAACAGCCAGCCATTTATTGATCAACGAGGGAAAAAAAGCAGTGTATTTTTCTTTAATTTTGTGTACCACTTATATTGATAGATGTCACAGGTACGAGAATATAAATATTTAAAATCTGGTCATTTGTTAGTGCTAATCCTGTATTACATTTTAAAAAAGCATTTATATTGGAGAATTTAACTTATTGGAAATTTTGTTGAATATAACATGGCTTAAATCAGATTAAACTTTTAGAGAATTCTCTAAAATTAAACTTTTTTTTTAAACAATTGGAAGTGCCCCTATTTGTTATTAATATAGCTCATTTGAATTAAAATTAGAGGTGATCAAAGATATTTCAGGTAATTTTAATTTTCTGTTGGGCCAATTAATAAAGAACTGGTTTTGCCTTAATTACAGGTAAACAGTTATGCTTAATAAGTTTATTATTTTCTTTTGTTTCAAATTTGGAGTAAATTTTTAATTTGGTGTTTGTAAATTATCAGTGGTCATTAACAAAATTGTGTTATTATTTGAATACATTGACGTTGGACCCCAAGTTATGGCAAGAATTAATTACCTGCAGTGAACTGCTACAATTCCACCTGCATCCCGCCTCAAATCTCGTAACTGTTGAATAAATTCTAAGAAGTTTGAGAAGTCTTCAGGTACTCCATGATCTGGCCAATTAATGTACTGTAATTGAGTCACATGACGCTCTTCATTTGTCTGTTGAAACAAAGTTTAATTGTCAGAATTTATAAACACCTCAAAATAAAATCATTTTATATTTTTATTAAAATGCATGCTTAAAAATAACTTTTAAACGCAAGGGAGTTTTTATGTATTTATGTTCATATCAAAAACTATTATTTTGTGCAAAAAATCTATCAAAATAATACCAAAAATGTTCTCAACAAACATGTTTATGGCTTTTTAAAGAAAACAATTATAGAGTTTGCAAAAAAAAAATAAAATAAATAAATAAATAATAATAATAACAAACTTATAACATAGAGATAATAATAATGTAATTTCAGCAGAAGTGACAATGTGGGTCATACTTAATGCACTAATGAATGCACAGAAGAAACAACATAAAATCAAAACTATCAGCTTCTTCTATTAATACTAAAACAGCCAATTTGATGTGTATAGTTTGTTTTTCACAAAAAAGGATCAGTTTTTTAAACCATTCCAGTAAAACTATTCAATACAAAGAACGAGTTTCCCAAGTAGAGATACGTGGTTTTTTAAACGTGGCTTAAAATACTTACATCTGGAGATCACTTTTAATTTTGGTAGTAGAATTTCTTAAAATGGATTTTTTTTTATTTGCTCACATTTACTACTGTCTGGAAACTATTTACAATTATCAATGCAATTGTTTAACATCAAAACATAAGTTTTTATTCATTAATTTCAAATATTAAAAACCAACTTTCCTATTATAGGATTCGATAGGAAAACAATAAAACATATTAATGTGTGAGGAAAAACATTCATAGTGACGAGCAAAAAAAAAGAAAAGGAACACCCTGCATAACTTATGCTCTAATGATTGGCTTATTACATACTAAGACCAAATAATAATGGTTTGAGGGCCTTACCCTTAACATGCTAATCAATTACAGCTAATGATATTCTAAGTTATGAAATCAGACACAAAAACGTACTTTCTCTGAATAAACATACCTTTCTTTTGGAATCATATCCACAATCTGGAAAATATAGTGCTAATAGTTTAGGCAGAACAGTTGATAGTTTGGACCCCTTAATGTTAATTTCACTTTTTGTGTATTTTACTATATCTCTCAAAGTTTTTAAACAAATCAAAAAACTTTTGCATGTAAATATAAAATCCTTCTAGCCAAAGATAATTCAATGTAAAAAATAATTTTTAATAACCATACATTAAGTTATTTAAAAAATTGATTTGTAAGGTATGCAAGTTTTAATATTATTTTTGCGAATGTAAGTTTAAATGGAAAAATACAAAATTTGAATGAAATCGGTCAAATAGTTTCTGAAATGACTTTTTTTTTTTTTTAATGTAACGTTTAAAAAGTTATATATTTAAAATTTGATTTCTCAAGTGCTATTTGACTGATTTTGTTCAAGATTTGAATTTCCTAATTTGAAATTACATTCTTTAAAATGAAGTAAAGATTTGCATCCCTTATAATTCAAATTTTTTTCGACTATTATTAAATGAATTAATAAAAAGTAATAAACAATTATTAAAAAATATTGATTACATGGAACTGCATCTAGATAGAATTTCCTAATTATGAGCAAAATTATTTTGGGAACCTTAAAAACTTCACAATATATATTTTAAAATATGCATTAAGTGAAATTAACATTGAAGGGTCTAAAACTTTTGATTTCTCTCCTGCTTTTATCTCCTTGGATTATATTTCCCAGTTTGTGAATACTCGTCATATCTTGAGATACAAGAACATAAATCAGTTTAAAGAAAATGATTGTTTATTCAGAGAAAGTATGTTTTTGAGCCTGATTTCATAACTTAAAATATCATCCGCTCTAATTGATTACCATATTAAAAGCAATGCTCTCAAATCATTAAGACTGTATCAAATCTAATTATTCAATAAAAAGTAATTTAGAGCGTTAAATTTTTTATTTTGTGTACTGCAATCAGAAGTTTTTTAAGGGCACACAAAATTATTTTGCAAGACATTAAAACATAAATTGTGATTAAAATATAAATTGTGATTTTGCAAGAAAAATTATTTTACTAAGTTATCAAGAGAGGAATGATAATAATTCAAGTATTTAGAGAAATAATTTACATTAACTATAATAATAGAATGATGTGAATTTTCTGTTTTTTTTTTTTTTTTTTTTAAACTTTGATAACTATTATTTTTAGTACATTCCATTTCTCAGTTCATATTAAGAAATGGTACCAGGAACAATTTGAGTCATATTGATGATGAATGCTTTGTTTCCAAAAAGCAATTAGCATTAAACAGATAAAAATTAAAAGAATATAGATTATTTTTGTCATTAAAAACCAAAGTAAATCGAAAAACATATGTGATTAAAGCAATATTCGATTTAAACTTATTGAGCATGCTTTTTTTCATTAAATAAAATATGGAATCATACTTAAATTTGAAAAGAATAAATTTTGAGAATAGCTTGAGGTATAACCTGTTTTGTTCTTTTTTTAATAGCACAAAATAATTTCACTTTTCATAATTTTATGTAGAAATGATAGTGTCAAAAAGAATATTCTTAATCTAATTTCCACCAGAGCTTTACAGTTACTTGATTCATACCAATGCATCAAAAATATTTTAAAACTATCTATGTTATTTTATTTGTATATAGCCTAAAATTTTTTGAAGAATGATTTGCAATTTATATTAAACAAATTTAGTAACTATATATGATATTTGACTTCACAATATAAATTTTTCAAATGTGTCATTGCAAATAAAAATTCAAAACGTGTGAGTTGACTATTTTAACAGATATTTCCTTATTAATAAGCACATTAGTTTATATATTAGTAGAACTGAGAATTATAGTGCATAAAAAATTGGTAGGAAAGAGAAATTATTATAAAAAGGAAGAGTTGAGTAATTTAAGAATGAATATTTAATTTATCAACAGACAATTTCTTTCCAATCAAACTATTTTCATGAAGAACCCCTACTATAAGAGAAAAACCTACTAAGGTTACCATTACTTTAAAAAAAAACTATTTTGTTCAATAACTTTACAATAACTTAATACCTTTTGATTGCTAATTAAAAAATCTCTTGTGATGCCAGCTGTAGAAGAGGTTTCACTAAAACAAGTTACTTGCATGTCATTATATGTAGAAGATTCATATAAATCAGGCCAGTACTGATGACACTTAACACGGTTTCTCTCTTTAAGAGTGGTAACCATGACTATGATGCGACAGTTTTGTTCCCACACCAACTAAAAAAAGAAAAATAATTCTTTATTTATTTAAATTATTAAATTTTAAAATATAAGACTTGACATTAAATTAAAAGTAATCATTATTCTGTATGAATTAGTTAGTTGTCTTAAAAGCAATAGAACAGAATTCCTTTAATTTATTCTCTTATAGTTATAAGATAGAAGCAGGCAAAATATTAAGCTTTAAGGTAACATTTCCAAAATATGTCAAAATTCTCTTATGTTGTATAAGAGTATAGTCCTAATAATTTCAATAGAATAAACAATTTTAGGTTGTATAGAGAACTTTGCTTGGTTAATACTAATCCATACTCTATTTTTTTAAAATATGGGATCAAAAGTTAAGGAATATAGTTATACTTTCCTTATTATTAAAAACTTCCCTTATTATTTACTTAACAATAGTAAAATCTAATTACCAAGATTTTGTAAAATGTACACCTATTTATATTTTTATAGAAAGAATTGTTTTTAACAATTCATTCAGCATTACTTCAGTTTTCAAGATGTTATTCATAGTGTAAGCTGTAAACTATATCACACAAAATATTAAAGTTTAACATACAAATAAGAAAACTACACACAGCATGCACCCAAAAGCAGTATAGTAATAACTTTGACTAGATTCTTACAATACAAAAGGAGAGATTTCTTTGTCAGTTTGAAGACAAGTATTATAGTTTTTCCTATGAGTTACAGTGCCAATTTTAAATTCCTCATTTTCCAAGTTTTTGAATAGACACTGTAATAATATTTACAGGAGCCAGATATTGCCAATGAAAAAGCACCAAATATTTACTTACCTGCCAAAAATCATTACAGGTTTCAGGAAGAGGTCCTTGCGCAGCAATATACTCATTTGGCTTTCTTGGATGAGGTAGTGGCATCTAAAACGAAAAATAAGTGAATAAATAATTAATTGTATATCAAAAATTGTTCTTTTTTTTTATAAACAAGCAATAGCAATTTTAAAATTGATAGATTTTGAAGAAAAATTTTATAACATCAATAATAAAATGCCAAAAAAAATTTTATGTATAAGAAAAATTTAATTCTCCTATAAATATAAAACATCAGATTTTGAAGTCATAAAGAAAGAGTATATTATTAGATTGTTAAGTAAAACTCTTTAACTTTATGATGGTTTGAGTTGAAATTTACCCAAACCATTATTACCCGATCTAATAACAGAACAAATGGTTTTCTATACAGAGAACTTACTAACTAAATAAAACAATTTCATAAATTAAAACAGAAATAGTATTACTTGTATTGTAATGCTACTTAACACTTAAAAAAAAAACAGAACTGAACACTAATTTGCATGCTGTTCACAGTACATTGATTTTTTCCCTCCGTAAAAATATCTCTGTCTTCCTCAGAAATTTAAAATAGTTTACACTTCTTGATGAGAAAGGGACTTCTTAAATATTGTAAAAGTAAATAATAGCATAAATAGAAAGCATTTTAAAAAGCATTAAAAGTAAATGGCAAACACCTCGGCTTTCTTTTAGGGGATCATTTTTTCATTCAAAAAAATTTGCAGTTATCGTTTCCTAAGCAAATATTTAGTAGAAGATAACTACAATTTATTATTTTTTCTCCTGTCACTGAAATTAGTAAAGCTCTACTTTGAAATTGAAGTAATGCAGAAATGAAAATAACTAGGTGAAGTGAAGTAGGTTAGATGAAATGGTTAATTTAAAAAAAAAAAAAATACTCATATAAAATTCCTAGCATGGAATTTATTAACATAACACAATTTTTTTTTACTCCTTTCTTGACTTTTAAAGTGATAAATTTTTTTTGCCGTATTTTGGGTTGAGTATGGCTTGTCTGGACTTGAAATTAAAGTACAATGAAACCTCCAGGAAAGATCACACACTGAGTAGTGACCTCATCTATTTACGACCACTTTTGGGAGGCACCGAATTTTTTTCATAGACTTTGTCTGGAATAAAACCTTTAGTAGAGGCCATCAAAACCTCTTCCAGTGAGCGAGGAAACCTCCGTACCAAATGCGGAAAAATTCAAAAAAGGAAACACATAAAAATATCAAAACAAAAAATATTAACAAAACACTGAATAGATTGAAATATGTTCAAAATATTTGTGAGTGGCTCTTATTTAGAGAGCTCTTTTTGACGTTCTCTAAAAGATATCGAATAACTTTATGTTGCGGACAAAATGCACTAAAGACGATGCTATCAATGATTTATTTTTAGAGTTGGAAAGTTAAGTTATACAAAAAAGTAATTTTAGAAAAAATTAAGCCTATCAAACAAATAAATCTCTCATTTTTTCAAGCAAACTAATTTTTATGATATACAATTAAATGCAAACTTAAACAAAACATTATTGCTTATTTATTTAAAATAGCTCAATCAATCATAATTGGTAAATTTGTTTTACACATAATAATTTTAACAGGGGTCATTTTTATTGATGATAAATTTTATTTATCGATCTGTTTTTCATGAAACAAACACAAGTGGCTTTTTCGCACCAAAAAATGATACTGAGTAAAATTAAAATAGCTTGCAAAAAATCGTTTACCTTTGATAAAATTTTAGAGGTAAGACAATGGAGGTAACCCCTAAAAATGCCCAACCTCCATTAATGACCATTTTACTGTGAAACAGAAAGTGGTCACTCCCGAGAGGTTTCACTGTAGCTTAATTAAGTTTGTTCAGTTTCCGAATCATACAGAGTGTTCCTAATGCAAGAAAAAATATAATCATCTACTAAATACTAGGTTTGTTTAATCTCTAAGAAAGAGCCAAATGTTTTCCAAAGCTGATTAAAGTGGTGACCTATTAGAAGTGAAGATTGAATTTCCAACCCAAAAGTCAAGCATAACTCTTTTATCTCAATTTTATGGCAAGAATTTTCTTCTTTCACGAGAACAGAATTTAAATGTATTTCAACTGTATTACAGTTTCTTATTACAGTATAATTAATAGTATTAATGATATGTTAATTTTTGTGTACATAAATAACAGCTAAGAATTTGTACAAAAATATGTACTTTAATAGAAAAATAAGAGCAAAACTAGCAGCAATTTTTTTTTTTATAACAATTGATAATTACTAAAATTTCAGAAAAATATTTTAGAGTAAAAAATTTTTAAAGTTAACTAATATTATATTATAAATATAAATATTCAATATTAAAAATATAAAAATTTTAAAACTTCTCTTTTTTTTCCATTATAGTTTTACTATAATGGAAAAAAAAGAGAAGTTTTAAAGTTTTTTTAGGACAAAACTAAAAAACATTTTATTCCATTATTTAGTATTTTAAAACTTCATGGTAATTTAAAAAAAACTTGTCCTAACTCATTGTTCTTTTAAAAGCAATTGTAACAAAAATCATCTTGATGATGTATTTCACAAGGAAATTACTTTTATTTGCTGTAAAGTAAAATAAAATATTCAATGCTTAAACATGTACATCTACTTACATGGACGAATGAAGCATTGATATAATCTCCAGTAGGTGATTCTTTTAAAATAACCCTGGAACTGTCATCTATGTTTAAAAGACAATGAAATCAATTAACAAATGTAAAAAAAAAAAAACAAATACAATTCTATAATATACTAATTCTATAGATGATAAAAAAAAAATCATTGTAGCATCTAAATAATAAACTCACTGATACTTTAAGCTTTAGTATTAATTTAGAAAAATCCACATTGTCATATACAAAAAATTCAAAATCAAATATTTTTTTTCATGAAAAAAAGGAAAAGAAATAAGTTACTTAATAATTTTAATAATACTTTTCATTCAATACAAAATAGGTCCCTTTAAATCAATATATTTTCCCTATAAATTACTTAACTTATATTTATAACTATTTAAATATAAATAAGAAGAATGTTTGAAAAAGATATTCCCTTTAATAAAACTGAAAAAAAAAACAAGAACTTTTTTCTATCAAATGTATACATTAAATGCATCACATGATTTCATATATTAAAAATATAAGAATTTGAAAAATCACTTGGAAAGGGATGAAAAAAAATCTAAAATTTTGACTATAAGAAGTTACTAGAAATTTTTGCTACTGTTTTTTTCTAACTTGCATCTGAGCAATTTGCTACTTGCTGGCTGACAAAATCGCATGCTGATTGTATCCTGCATTCTAACCAGGGTTTGTTGATTTAAATCACGATTTAAATCATGATTTAAATCAAATGATTTTTTTTTAAAAAATTTTTAAAAACATTTTTAAAAATGTTTTGATTCTTGAGATTGAAAGTACAGATTAAAGTAAACATTTAATGCTGTCTTAATTTAGACTTGCATAGCTGTAGAAAGTAATTAATAAACATGAATATTTTTCAAAAAATAATACAAATAATGTTAATTAAAATTCTACCTTTTGAATGAAAAAGCGTGAATTAAAATCTACATCATATTTTATTGGCGGAAAATGTGTATTTCTGAAGCTTGAGGTTATGTTAAAAAGAAATTACCCTAATATGCCAAAAACAGAAAAAGAAAAAAAGAGGGCTGATGAATTCAGATGTATTTTTCCAAATATAGTGTCATTCTTCCCTTTCAAACTCTTTCAAAGTCTATTTGATGCAGTAGGGTTATTAACTGGTATTTTTTTCTCATAATTTGTTTACAGTATCTTTGACATTATCAGATTTTCTGTAAAGAAATTTTGTGAAAAAAAATTCCAATGAGTAGATAGATTTTCTAACTTTTTTTTTTAGCTTATCTATTTTGATATAGAATTAAAAATGAATATTTTAATATAAAAATATATAGATTAAATATTTATTTATTGTTTGATGAATTACTACATTTATAAACACAGTCTGCTACATTTATTTTGTCATTTTAAAAATCAAGAGAAAAAAAAAAGAAATCACAATTTTAAATTAAAGTTATGGTTTGCTAACTGAAACTTTGTTTTATTGGTAAAGTGCAGGGGTCTGTCCAAGCCAAATTTACTACCGTTTAACGGTACCTTTACAAATTCAACTTTAGGAAAAATGATAGAATAATCACACAAAATACTTTTTCTTAAAATTTTATTTTTGTGTCTCGTAAGAAACAATAAATCCATATTTTTACTATATTTGTGTTGATTTTTTAATATAATTTTTAATTTTCACAAAATAGGTACCTCTCAGAAAAACCCAGACAGTTTCCGAAAAAACTAGCCCTCTTTCAAAACAGTTGCTATGCATTCAAAGCCATGTATTATAATGAAAAATTATTTTAGTTAGAGCTTCTAAAATATTGTTACAACATAGTTTTAATATTAAGTTAACTTGATTAAACATTTATAATTTTTTTTAATCATAAATTAAAGTTCTTACAGTGTATTTGAATAAAAATCAAAAAAATCTGATTTAAATCAAAAAAATCTGATTCTTTTGATTTTTTTTAAAAAAAATCACGAAACCTGACTCTAACTGTATCTTATACTAAAAATTTTGTATTATAATGTATTGATATACTCACATTATAATTGAATTATGATATTAGTTTTTTGTGCATATTAAATCACAATTTAAAACTGTCATTTAATTGATGTATATTTTCCTAATATATCTCATATCATATGACAAACAATATAAATATTTCTGATAAATAGTAATTACATACATGGTAGAACATCTTTATAGCGATTTTTTACAGCATTTTCTGACAATTTGGCAACATCCATACTTTCTTTATCTCTTTTCTTTTTTAATTTCTAAAATAAAATAAATGTCATTAAAGACAAGAGTTTGAAGGAAAATCTTATTTCATGTAGGCAATAAATTAAAGAAAAATTTATCTTAGCATTTTATATTATTAAGATTAGAAATTCTTACTTTGCAATCATTCTTAATGAATTTGCATCATTTAAAAAATCAATGAGTGTGTAACTTAAACTAAGGACTCAAAGGAATTTACATTTTTTAAAAAATTAATTTACTTCAAAAGCTGAAAGTGTAGTTCTATCTTCTAAAGACAATTGCAGCCTTATCATAGACTCTTCTAAAGTTTGGCTATTTTGGTTGTCTTTGGACGTATCATTAAGGCTGCTCTGGTCTGTGAGTGATTCATCTTTCGGTTCTGTTACATCTGATGATTCTAAGGCTAAACAAAAAGACATAATAGTTAAGAAAAGTTAAAAAAGTAAACAAGTGATAACAATCAAAGAAAAAGCAGTGAAACTAAAACAGGTTTAAATGCAGATCTATTGTGTTTATACTAAAAAAAAATAGATCTCTCTCATATTATAGCTGCCAACTTGTATACAATAATTTTCAAAGATTTTACAATGTGGTAATAAAATAATAATTGAAGTAGAAAAAACTTTAACTAAAATTAACTAGCTTTGCATACATTTAAAAGTATAATTGCATAACTAATTGATCTTACATAGACATGTTTTAATTATTGAATTGCCAAGGTAAGTAAAATAATTTCCTTTCTAAGTTCTTAAAGAACTAAGATTTATACTTAAAAACATCATTATTTTATGCATTACTTTCCTCATTGAATAATATAAGGAGAAACTTATTTGTTCGGTAAAAGAGCAACTATTTTACACAGCAAGAAATTTTGGAGCAAACAACTAGCACAACATACACCATCCCTTAAAAACACTGCCTTTTTATTCTGATCCATTTTTAAGAAAAATTAATAAACTGTTAAAATAATAATTACACACAAAAATTAGTGTTTATACGTCCAGTGTTTTCACTACAGCGCGAGAACGCGAGAATCTCGCATATTTTTTTTCTTTTCTCGCTATAAAAAATGATTAAAGCGAGAAGTTCGCCCACTCTATTAATCAATTTCAAAATGCGCAAATTTTGAAAAAAATTTCGTCTTTTGCCATTTTGAATAAAATCTGTTTCACTTTTCTTCCTTGATCTTTCATTATTTTGAACATCGTTCCTTGTGATCTAGCTGCCCTATTTACCAGTATTGTTCAGAATTGGTGCGCAAAGCAGAACACCACCACCCGAACCACGGAACCCCTTTCAGAACATATTTCTCTGCATGAATGTAACATATTTCTCTTTTTTGTGCATGAATGTAAGATGGACAGATACCTTGTTAAGGCGACATCTTCTACTCCGTAACGGACAAATGAAAATGGAACCAATGTCGGTAGAAACGGTCAAAACAAAACAAATACGGATATTTTTCAGTCAAATAAATATAATAGCTAATGAAAAAGTAGATATAGAACATTTTCCATAGGATGATGCTGCAAAAATATTCAATTAGAAGATGTTAAAAATGTATTATAATTCAAGAAATAATTTTTTTCCAAGTCTATTCGTGTTTTTTTAATTTTTAGAAATCTCACTTAACTTTTTGAAATCTCACCCTGTTTTTGAGAAAGGGTGAGAAATTCTCTCCCATTTTTAATCTGAAATGAAAACACTGACGTTTAATTCTGATTGTTAATACAAATATTTACTTTGTTAGGATTATTCACAACTGGTTAAATGTTTATAAGTTTTTCTTTTTCCAAGAGGGTGTATTATAAATTTTTTAAGTGATTTTAAATTTTAAAATTATTTCCTAAATACATGACTTTAAAAAAAAATGCACCATTAAACATTTATTTACTAATAATTTTTATTATAAATAACAGAAAAAATCTTTTAAGCAGTTCATAAAAATTGTTTTTTTTTTTTTTTCAGTTTTTTTTTGCAAGCATGCACAGAGATTGTCTTTTAGCATGCTTTTAATTATCATTGATAAACTACAAATTTTTCTATTATTTAGATAATGAGTAAATACTACTTTTTAAAATATAAACAAAAATAGTATAAGACAGTTACTTAAAAATTGTTGAGAATCAAATTCAGTTATTACATGATATTACACATTTTGAAAAATTTTTGAAGTGTTAAGTGACTTCAAAACTTTAAGTAGTGTTGTCTGCAAAGAAGCAATCTGCCCTTTTTTATTCCTAGGGAAAACTCTGTAAATTAAAAAATAAAACGCATTTTTTCCCGAGTGAATACGGTATTGTTGTTAAGAATTTTATTATCATACCAATAGATGATAATAATTTACTTATCTTAGCTGAGATTTAAGAATAGCTTAAATGTATGACAGTGAGATAAAAACTACTTCTCGGTTAATAGAATAAAAAAAATTTAAATTTTTTTTCTTCACGTTAGTACTTTTTATACATAATGAACATTCATTACAAAACTCATAATTTCTTCTTCAGGCATAAGGCTTTTTAAACAGCCCAGAGAAGCTTAATGATGCAAGTCTATACAGAAAATAATAACATAAATGTGCTATAGAAGTATGAATAAGAAGCATAAAATATAAGTATATACAATATAAAATATTCATTCATATGAAGCTAAGAAGAAAAAAAAAAAATTAGATTTCTAAAAATCAATGCAGCTAAACTTACCAGTTTGATAGTCTTTTGTATTTTCAGAAAGGAAAGTTTGATTGGAATGTATTGGTTGTACCACCTAGATTACAATTATTATTTTTTAATTATATGTATAGTTATTTATGAGTATATAAAAGTTGAAATACAGACAGAAGTTTTATGCAGACATTTAAAGATACGTTTATAAAAATTACTTAAAAGACTTGAATTTATAATATTATAAATGGAAATTATTTAATATGAGTTTTAAGATAAAATAAATCCAATACACACAGTAAGGTTTGCAAATTTGTAAATGCACTATGCTTAGTTCATTCCCCAACATTTTAAAAATGTTTCAGCAATATATTTCATTTGCTAAATTTTTAAGAGTGTTTCTCACAAAAGAATGAAACAAATTACCACGAAAAGTTCATAACTTTTAAAAAGATAGGTATCTTACTATATACAAAAATCTAATGATGGTGTTGCAACTTTCCATTGTTGTCAATACATTTTTATTAGTTGGAAAATCACATGGTACAATCCAGTTTTGCCAATTTAATCAATGTGTCTCCCTAATTTAAAGGTTTACCTGTACAGTTATTATTACGGACGCCCGGTGGCTAAAAGTGGAGTAGTAGCGCTTCGCTTTTCCGTGCCACAGGTCCTGGGTTCAATCCTTGGGCTGGGCAAGGTTGACTCAGCCTTTCATCCCTTCAGTGGGTCGATAAATGAGCACCAAGCATGCTTGGGAACTAAACACTGGGGGTTCCGCTTTCGGCTGATCACCTAACCTGAATATCTGCATCCCAGAGCCCAAGGTCAAGAAAACTGAGACGGGCACAGTAAGCCTTGGCCCTCTATAGGCAGTCGTGCCGCTGAGTTTAGTTTAGTTATAATAACGGTTTTGATTTTGCTTGATTTCTAAAGTAAGAGTAAGGCGGATAATTTTTATTGTTATTATTATCAGAATAATGCAATTCTACGTTATATTTTAAGATAAAGTTATTTAAATCAGTGTCTTATCTTATTAACCACTTTACAATTATTATTTTTTGGTGCAAATTACATTAATATACAATTATGAATTTGGGTTAAAGAGATTTGTTAAATGACAGTATAATGTATACTTTTAATTTACATTGTAATTTCAAAAAATGATTACTTAGAAAAATGACTATGTTCACTTATAGATCTAAGTAGTATCATAAGGGAAATATTCGGACGTGGGAAGTGAAGGCTCAAGTGTTCTTTTTAGTACAATAATTTCAACTGTTTTATGCTAAGAAACAACAATTATTGCGAAGCAATCATTGGGGTTGATGAGCGTTAGCGAACAGTGGGCTTAGCCCCTAGTGAAATAAACAATAAGAATTATAATAAATGACTTCATAAAAGAATCTATACTTTCTTTTTTTAAGTATAACTATTTTGATCAATATAAATAATAATGAATAGAATGAAAATTCCTCATATTTATATATATATAAAAATTGATCTTAATTTTTGAAAGAAAATTTTAAAGCTAAACATTTCAGTTTTTCACTTACCATATTTTCAAGAAGAAAGTAAAGAATAAAGTCTAGTAGAAACTCTCTAAATTGTCACCTCATAATAAAAATGTTTATAAGAACAAAATTTTTTAAAAAAGAAAAAACTAGAGACCAAAAAAAAAATTTGTTCTTAATTTTTAAACAAAAAATTTAAGCCTTTAAAATCTCAATTTAACTTAAACACATTGCTATATTTTTAGAAAAAAGTGACCATAAAAAAATAACATTGTTCGTAAGAAACGGTCTTTAAAAAAGGCTGTCATAATTAAAATGCTGATAAATAGAAAAGTTAATAAAAAAAAGCAAAAGAGAAATAGAAAAAAATTATTCTTAGTTCTGAAACGTAACTTCAAGTTTGAGAATCATACTTTTCTGCGTTACCTGTTCTGTACAGAAAAAAAGTGATATAATAAAAGAATAAAGTCTATAAGAAATGCTCCGTTAAAATGCTGTGCTATAATTAAAACAGAAAAACGAAACAAACAAAAAGAAGTTCTTAATTCTTTAAAAAAAAGTGTAGAAAAAAGGATGAAATAGACTTGAATAAATTAAAAAACAAATCAGCAGAACAAAACTTACGGTTTAATATAAAGTAATAAAATTTCAATTCTTTAAGTTTCGCTTTTCTTCTTACTTCTTTAAGTTTCGTCTTTCAGAACATAAATTAACAAGTTTTAAAACTTGAGAAATATGTGTAAAAACGGTTATCAATAATGAAAATATTATTTCAGATTATTCTTTATCAAATCCAAATTCCACCCAAAAACAGCTTTGTCAAAAAATACTGTGCCAAATATTTGGCCAAGTGAATATTCGACAAAACAGCCAAACACAGAAAATGGGTTACATCCCTGTGCATAATCTAGTGTATAAAATTCCAACAACACATTAGGAGTTTATTTATGTCTTTACACATTAGGAGTCAAAAAATGTTTATGTCTTTACACATCAGGAGTAAAAAGAAAAAAAAAGTGCATTTGAGTGTTTTAAGCATTTTCAGTTTTTTAAAATAATGAAAACAATAAACTTTTTAGTCCACTTCATTTTACATTATAAATTAAGCAAAATGAATCACAAAAAGAGAATGAAAGAGCTTTATAGAGAAGAAAAGCGATTTATTTTGTTAACAAGTTAAAGTTTGAAAATATAAATTATGTAGGGTATAGTTGGTAAAAAAAGAGCATACATACATACAAGTGCATTATTCATGTATATGTTGTATATACATGAAGAATTAAATACACAATATTATTAGTTATACACAATTAAATACGGAGCACGAGTGGTGATAAAATTAATAAATATTAAATTCAAATTGTTATATTCCTAAAGAAAAAATAATTGAAGTAAATGATAAAAATTTTAGGCAACTATTTTTACTCTTAGAGCAAAAAAAAGAAGAAAAAAAAGAAAAGAAAAAGATGTTTAGTATAAACTCATTAACATTCATACATTTCTATAGTTTTTGGAGTCAATCACAGAATTGGGTCTAGATAAAGATTTTATACTTGAACACAACGAAGAGGATTGCGAATTAAGTTCTTCTCTCCGTTTCTTTAAATTGTTCTCCGTTTCACTAATGTCATTCAATCGTTTAGACATTGCTTTGAATTTAACACTTTCCAGGAATGTTTATTGAGAAATTATTTAGCTGAAAAATGAAGCTGACTTTTTCGAATTAACAGTTATATTTCCATATATATATGTACAGGCTTGTGTGCTCTATGACATTTCCAAATAGAGACAGAGCAAAATAAATATAAACAATATCCTTAGAAGAACAAGTTATTGATCGGTTGTTCTAGTTTACTCCGCAGACTCAGTTTTCGTTCGTAAATAAAGATAGAGAGCGCTGCAATCAACAGGAAGTGAAAGCTTGTTTAAGAGTACAGAGTTGAAATGGAATAAAATCGTAAATTGGACAGAAAATTATATGCCATTTATTTTTAGAGCTGGCTTGAACTTTATTGATATTCACATTTTACTCATAAATGAGGCAGGTAGAAAAAAAAAAAACTTTAACTATTATTTAAAACGCTTCTCGGAAAAACTAGAGGCATAGAGTGAGGTTAAAATTTTATATTGACAAAGACTTATAATCCTAATAAAATTATGAAACATTGTAATTTCTAATAAATATATTCACAAAGTGTATTAAAATTTATTTTTCAGAAACGTTACAATTTATTCTTCAGAAACTAAAAAGCATAATTTGTAAAAATTTGAAAATCTGAAATTATTGGAGTCAAATAACTTTAACTAACTATTGGAAAAACTTGTTTTTTTTTTTAAAAAAACTTTTTTTTACAGATAATAAATTTATTAAAAATTATAAAAACGGTTTACGTAGTCTTTAATGTAAACGGTCGATCTTAATGAATCTGATAACTTATTAAAATATTAAAATAGTATGCAAGACAGTACGAGTAAGGTATTAACAATCTAAAAAAAAANAAAAAAAAAAAAAAAAAAAAAAAAAAAAAAAAAAAAAAAAAAGATGTAACACATTTATTTAAACTATGTTTAAACTAAGTGAAATTTTTTTTTTCATTAGCTATTATTTTAAATAATAATAATAGAAAAAGTGACTGCCACTTCATTACAAATATATGTAAAAAAAAAAAAAGAAGATAAAATTGAGTTCTGGTTCCTTAATGTTAAATCTACCATTTGCGTATTTCATCTAGGAAATGAAATTCCATTTTCAAGGGATCAAGATTTGACAGAATTACGCATCGATGTCTACGGGATTAGTGCGCGGGATTTTCACCTCAATTCGGCAGGATTGTAATTAAAAATAAATAAATAAATAAAATAAAATAAACAAATAAATAAAATAATTTTTCTTTTTTTAAAAAGATGAAGGTTCTAGTTGGTGTCAGGTTCATAAAATTTTCAACAGTTAACAGAGAAGGAAATATATGAGTAGTGTTTTGATTATCAGCATAATCATGTACAGTGCGCAAAACAAGAAATGGACCACTCTGAATAACTTCTGTCAAATGGTGGATCTTCACTTTCTAGGACTCAGTTTTAATGGTTCAAAGGGGTGATCTCAAATATGTTACTTAATTAGTGCCGACCACATTTAGGGTTACGAAATCAGAAATGAAAACGTACTTTCTCTGAATATAAATTTTTTCCTACAAATTCGGATTTCTGACCCCAAAAATATCGGGGGTAGCCGCAATCTGGGAAATATGGTCCTAATAGTTTGGTCCGGAAAGCGGTTCAGAGTTTGAACCCTTTAACGTTAATTTTACTTTTTGAGTAATTCGCTATGTATCGAGAGCTTTTTAAGCGAATTGAAAAGTTTTTGCACACCATTGTAAAATTCGTTTATCCAAAAATAGTTTCAGGAAAAAATAATTTTTAGTAAATATTTATTGTTTTTTTATTATTTTATTTAATAACATTCGAAAAAGTTTTGATTGCAAAATATGCCATTTCTTATATTATTTTAAAGAATTCAAATTTTTATGGCAAAATACAAATTTTGAGCGAAATATGTCGAATAGTTCTTGGGAAATTGAATTTAAGCAATCTTATTCTTAAAATTCGATTTCTCAGGAACTATTCACCCAAATTCATTAAAATTTTGTATTTTGCCATGTAAAATTGCATTCTTTAAAATGAAGTAAAATTTTATACCTTGAAATTCAAACTTTTTTCGACTATTATTATTGTTTTCTTACTTGTCAATGCAGACAAATTTTTTTTTTAGTCAAAGGGATGTAAAGGATTCCGATCTAGTACCCCAAGAAGTATTGATTTATTATGCGAACTTGGAGGATTTTATGATCCCGACAGATTTAGCGAGCACCAGTCATCATTTTGTACACTGGCAATCTTTGGCAGGCGGGGATCGAACTCAAAAAGCTGAATCCGTCGAAAGAAATGTATGTTTATTCAAAGAAAGTACGTTTTTGTGTCTGATTTTGCAATTTAAAATATCGTCTATGTTAATAAATTAGTCTATTTCTGTTTTTGTATGAGATAATCAAGAGAAAAAATACTTAATAATCCGAAAATGAATTGAATGTATACATCTGTACATTAAGGGTTTCAAACTAAAATTCAACTAAAAAAAAACCCAAGCAAAAATATTAAATAAATCTGAGAGATCGCAAGCAAGGTTTATGAAAGTGAAGCCTGGTAAAAATACATCAAATTAAGTTTAAATGCCAAATGAAACCGAAAAGTCATTATCATTTGGTTTTATATTATGCATTTCAATTATTAAAAAGAAAAATATCATTCATTGAAGTAATATTACACTTACTTGGCTATCAGGCACTTCGTCTGGAGGAACATGGTTTAAATTAATAATTTCGTTGCTAACTTGAAGTTGTTCTGGAAAGAGAGATTCATTTTCTTGAACATCTTCATTTTTTGACAATATATCGGATTGATTCCTCTCTACCTAGGTATTAAGAGGAAAGTAAGTTTAAATTAGTTTTTTTCTGGAATGCGATAGAGGATGCATTAACTGCACACAAAAAACAGGAGTAAAAGAGCCAATTAGTTCATTAGTTTTATTTAATATATATATATATATATATATAAACACAAATAATAAAATAAAAATTAATATAAAGAGAAACTAAAAATGGGAAAACCGATAGTCGTTATCAAGACACATCTATTGGTATAATGCGATATTTCTGAATAAAGAACAATTATCCTAAGATAAAAATTATTCTTTATATGTGTCGATATCGCAAAAAACCTTATTTTGAAAAAAAATCATGAAATAAAAGAAAAATGTAAAAGGAAATCAAACTTACCGGCGTGAATTAAAACGCGGTTTAGGTTTAAAAGTACAATAATAAAACAGTTAACAAAAATCGCGAAGATGTAAAATATTGCTTATAGCTTGAATCGAATATAATAAAATTAAAAAAACATTTGATCGAAGAAGAAGAAAAAANATCCGGAAAAAAGGGGGAAGAATTAATAAAAATCCGGAAAAGAAGAGATATAATCTTTTCATCTGCTCACATGATTATATCCGCAAAAAAGAGTGCGTTCTAATATTGTATCAGTATAGCCAAAGTAAAATATATCAATGCAATAGTGTGAGGTGCACTCAACATAATTTTAAAATTTTTTACAAGAAATAAAATAGAACACATTAAGTAAAAATATCACGTATGTAAAAACAGAGAAAAAAATGTGAAGAAAAAAACAGATTAATACATAAAATGAAATATACACACCAAAGAGCCATTACATTATGACCACCCTCCATCTATAACAATGGGTTTGCCCAGGTTTTCATGGTTTCTCGCCCAGGAACAATGTTTTTATGGGGCACAATAGGACCCATAATCCTCATAGAAGAATCTCTGACGTCTGTAAGCTACTTGAACATAGTTGCAGACCAGGTTCACCCATTCATGGCAACAGTTCTTCCTACGGGGGATGGTATTTACCAACAGGATAATGCACCATGTCATAAGGGTCGAATCGTCGTGGAGCATTCCAGTGACTTTCAAGTCTTGTCTTGGCCCCCAAATTCACCTGACCTTAATCCAATAGAGCATTTGTGGTCCTACTTGGAAACCAAATTCGTGCTGCCACGCTACCCCCTCGCAACGTGAGGGAATTGCTGGAACAGTTGGTGAGCGCTTGGTACCAGATACCTCAGACTACCTATCAGCACCTTGTGGAATCAATGCCACGGCGGGTGCTAGCAGGTTTGAGAGCTAAAGGTGGTCCTACATGTTATTAGCAGGGTGGTTATAATGTAATGGCTCTTCGGTATATATATATATATATACGTATGTATATAGATATATATATATGTACAATTACGTAGCTAATAAAAGAAGCATTTATCGGTTACCCGTGATTTTATAAAATATTTTGCTTATCATGAAAAATATTTTTTTCCCGATTTCGCAAAGATTTAAAATACTTTTTTGAATCACAATTCTCAAAAACTTTTCTTTAATAATTTTATGTATCATTTTTTTTAAATATTCTAATACAAGAGAGATTGCCTTGTTCGAATAGAAGTTCTAAATTTTTGAAGAGAGCTCAAGCACTATAGGGAGATCTACGAATCTACTGAAATATTATACTTTTGAGTAATTAAGTTAAATACTAATACATCTATGTATTTTATAATTTTACTGCGCATACTTTTTTAATAGAATTTTAAATAAAGATATCGTTTCTTTCCACTGCTGCAATTAATATCTAACGTATGACTTCTTTACTTGAAATTAAATTAAAAAAATATACGTTACATATTAATTGCAGCAGTGGAAAAGAAATTAATATTTTCAGTCATAATATAAATTTGACTTTTGTTGATAAAGTTTTTTTCTTAAAATATTTATTTAGATATAGTAGATGGGCACTCTCTGAGAACCTTAATTTATTGTTCTACATACAGGGATGCCAACGGCTCCACTTTCTTCAAAAGTAATAATGTATTGGCTGCGAATTTAATATTAACATACTTGTTGAACAAGGATAATTACGTCTACTTTTTTAAAATTGCCACCACGAGATAACTGTAATAAAGTAGTATTTCATATGATATTTTGAATTTTTTATATGTATAGTGGTGGAAAAATTACTTAAATTGGAAAATATTAAACTAAAAATAACATACATTTCATTACCACTAGAAATTAATTTTTTACAAAGCTGAGTAAGTTGGCATCTTTGTAAATTTAATTTCCGTTTTTTTTTTGTTGCAGAAATAGCTGTTTTGTCACATGTCTAAAATAAAACAAATTTAATAGTGATTGACAAATTTAATTAATTGACAAATTTAATTAAATTAAATTTGTCAATCGCTTTATATTATTCAGTGCATTTCATATTGAATACCCTTATTGTGTATTATTAGAATCTTTTTCATACATGAAGTCAAAAAGTAAAAAAAAAAAAATTTACAAATTCGGAGACACAAATGGAAATGTAATCGATTGAGGAAAAATAACACTATCAAATTCTAACCAATCAATAATGTGCCTGACAAATAACATCAAAACCTGTTTGAATGTTGGAGGACACCGAGAGGAGTTGAAAGAAGATAGTAATTAGAAATATTTCCAAGTTTCACAGGGTACTGGTTTTGATGTTTTTGTTTATTTTCTTTGATAGATTCGTCAATTATGATAGATTTGGTACGATATTCCTCATTTAAATATTAATTTGGGCTTCCAAAGTTTATCCTTTTATTTCCAGCATATTTCATAGGGATTCTGAACATCGATACTTAGGACGGCTATTACAGAATCTTTCTCCAAATAAATAATAGTGGACTGTAGTAAATGTGGTATCAGTATGTTTATTAATGTACTGTTTTATCGATAAAAATAAAACAGAATATTTATAAATAAGTACATGCGTCTGTACAGTACACAAATGCGCAATTCTTAACCAATCCGCACCAAATTTGGTGTACATACGTTCGAAAACACGGAGGACCTTAACTGTCAACTTTAAAACTCCCTCCCGCAACCGATTCACACGATTAATAGTATGAACGAGTCGCTAGCGTGCTCTCGAATAAATTAAAATTATTTTTATCGCATTTTATTATTTTTTTTCTACATTTTTATGAATTATTTGTTTTTGGTTTCCTTTATTGGGTTTATCACAAGTAAAATCAACGTTAATAATATCGGGAAGTATGGGCATGGCGTCAATGAATTCGTTTCTAAAAATATATATTTTAAAAAGTATATGAAACCAGGTGTTTTTTATATTGATAATTACGCTTTCAAAACGTGTCTTTATAAATTTTAATAAAAGAAACTCAACTGGAATTCATAGAATAAACTTGAAGTTACCTTTTAAGTCTAGGGAAAAGTATGATTAATTCTAAAAATAAGTAAAATGATTCTATATGTTTAGTTAATCTTTCTTTTGTTGAGTGGAATTTTTAACTTATATTATGGTAAATCTAAGAGTATGAAACCGTGATGAAACATAAAGCAAACAACAAAAAATGCAGGTTATGTATTAGCTGCCTGTGAATGTGTAAGTATGGACAGCGAGTAATGATAAATAAAAAAAAAATATGCTTAATTAATTGCATCGGTATATGTCTTTCATTTTTGTGCATGGTTTTGTAGTGATGATCAAGACCGATTTATTGGATTTATTGATTATTTTTTCTTTGTCCTACTCGTTCGAAAAAAGGCGATTTAGCTAGTTTTTAATAAATTAAAGAATTTTAAATGAACCAATTTTAAGTAATCTCAAAGAATAATTTTTATAAGCATTTGCATTATTCTAGAAAAATTATTTAGCGGTGCATTATAATATTTTAAATAGTTATGTAAAAAAAATACATGCAAAAACCGATCAAAAATTTTTAATTAATTCATTGACTATTCTCTTATATTTTAACATTGACAAAATTAGTTACTTTTTTACGCATTGCAAATAACCTATGAAATTGATTCATACAAGATGATTCTCAGTGATCACCTTTAAGATACAATTTCATACTTCCTGTAAAAATAAATACAATAAAATTTTTTTAAAAATATTAATGTTAGTTTAAATAATTAAAAACAAAATTGATTAGTTGAAAGGCATTTAAAATAACTTACTGAAGAATGGCATAGATAAAAAAGATCCCAAGGGAAAGTATCGAAACTCCAGTCATCCACATTGTACAAAAAATCCCACAAGTCAATCACATCCATATTTTAATGTGAATAAATTTTTGTTTTAATTTTTGGAGCAAAATAAGATAATTACTGAAAATATCTCTCAACTTGTTTTTTAGATAAACACAAAATATTGTTTATAATAATGATTTGCAGCTCACATTTCTCAGTAAATACCACAGATTTTGTACCATAGTTGAAATTCAGCACTATAAATCGTTTGATACTGATTATACTTTATCGAAATTCGGTTTAATCAAAAATCGTTTGCAAAGTTAAGTAGTTTTCAAATTTGAATATTCTTCATCACAAATCGTTTGCTAATTTGAATATACTGCATCACAAAATTTGCTTAGAAAATTGAGTAACACATTCGTAGTTACAACATTAGTAGTTCACAAAGTAACACTAAATCAGTAGTTCAGGTCATATTAATTTTCTGTCATTAATAGTTTGAATTTAATGCTTTAGACAGAAATAATGTATGTTGTCTACAGTCGAACATCTTTGTGAATGGTGGTTGAGATAAAATGCTTGAAAAATGCTTGTATTAGTTCTGGCAGCTACATCTGCTTGCCCTTGCGTCAATTCCACAGGAATTAGAAAAGAGAACATTTGGCAGTATAAAACCCTTAAGTTCTGGCATAAATAAATTCACCCTCTTTACGAGCTGACGTTTAAAGTTTACACTTTCGTTTTCTCGCCCTACTGGAATCATCTTATCTTTGTTTTTTTTCTCGAGAAGTACTTGACAGTGAAAGTGTTGGTTCAAAATTTGAATTGCATCCAATCTGCGACCTAAAAATAAGTTCTTTTTTCTTGAAATGTTACTGTAATTTTTTCTTCTCCCCTTCCTGATATAGAAAGTGATTCATTATAATCTCGTCAGGATTCGTTTATAGGTTGTCAGAGACAGTGAAGAAATGCGATTATGACGACACTTTAGCGAATTGCCCTGTCATACTTGGGCAGTAATATATGATTGCTGAAAAAGCTTTAGACGGAAAAATTGATGACAGTTTGCGTTTTCATTTTTTTTTAAACTTGGGGAAAGGTTATTAAGCAAGACTGGATGTAACTTTCAGTTAATTAATCATTTTTATATACTTCAAAATTAACTATTTATAAAGAGAGTGTTATTTAAGGTTTTCCTTTCTTATTTCGAGATCGAAATATCTTATAAAAACCATAAAATCTTTAGTATTCGAAAACAAAATTACATTATTTTTAATAAAATTATTACGAATTTGTTCAAATCAAATATATTTGAAACATGGCCGTTTGTTCGGGACAACTCTAAAATCCTACAGTTTAGCTGAGACTAACAAAACGAAGATAAAAAAAAAAAAATAAAAAATCGAATGACATTAATTTAAGGGAAGAGATGAAAATAACATTAAATTTGTTTCAGAAACATAAAAGACTAAAGAATCACTTGAGTATTATTTTTTTAAAAATTTATTTTTGGAATTAATGGAAAAAACATATTTTTTAATGCATGAAGCGGTCTTTATAAGGACTTACGTCGTTATAAATTCAANTGAAACATGGCCGTTTGTTCGGGACAACTCTAAAATCCTACAGTTTAGATAAGACTGACAAAACGAAGATAACAAAAAAAAAAAAAAAAAAAAAAAAAAAAAAAAAAAAAAAAAAAAAAAAAAANAAAAAAAAAAAAAAAAAAAAAAAAAAAAAAAAAAAAAAATAAAATCGAATGACATTAATTTAAGGGAAGAGGCGAAAATAACATTAAATTTGTTTCAGAAACATAAAAGACTAAAGAATCACTTGAGTATTATTTTTTTAAAAATTTATTTTTGGAATTAATGGAAAAAACATATTTTTTAATGCATGAAGCGGTCTTTATAAGGACTTACGTCGTTATAAATTCAAACAGTCTAACAAAATATTTGAGAAGCCAAACAATATTGATTTGAAAAATAACCTAAATTCCATTTACGCTTTATCTTTTGTTCTTTGATTAATTTAATTTGCTTTGTTACACAAATGTGAATATTTATATACATAGAAGAAATCGAAGTGCAACTAAGGAATGAATCAGAGCCATTTTTTAATACTTTTTATCAAACAGAAATTAGGCATAGCAAAAAACAAAGAACATCTTTCGCAAAATATATGAGTTGTTAAACTACGACTTGTTGAATCAAACTTGTTCACTGTTATAAAATAATTATGATATTCCTGATTACGTGCAAACACTGATATTTAAAGGCAAACAATTAAAGAAAGTGGTTTGTTTATGTGATTATTTTTAAGACCTTAATGAATAATTAAACATTCAAACCCCAAAATTCTAACACCTGTTTTGCTGATATTTGATTTTAGTAGAATTTATAGTAATATTAGTATCATAAATTAAAATTAGTATGTTATTTAGATATTTTATATGTATTAGAATGATGTATAGAAATCAATATGTTTGAAAAATTGAGCAGCATAAAAAAAAAGTTTTTTGCGGCTTAATGCAGTGGCTCTGAAGATATCGTTTGTCGTTCATTTAATGAAAACTTTTTGAAAACTAGTACATTTGAAGAAAAAGTATTTGAAACTACTACTGATATCTTGAAAAGTATTGATATCTTAATAATTTGTCTAGAATTTTATTCATAAATAGACATGTAATAATTCCTAAATGAATCCGAATAACATGCTAAACAAATCAGAATGAAATGACTAATTTTTTTTTTAAAAACTTAACAGAAATTGAATTTTTATAAAAAAAAGCGGTCAAATATCATTAACTAATCAAACTTTATTAATTCTTTATTAATTAACTATATCCTTAGTCGAAACTGCATTGAAACATTTTGAAAAAATGGAAATTGATTAAAACACGCGTTTACGAAAATCGACATTGCTTAAAGTGCGCATTTGAAAACTGGGCATAGCGCTTAATACGGATTTAAGAAAACGTATTAACATGCACACTGTAAAAAAATGCCAGATCAAATTGAGGCAAAAAGTACCGACGCTGAAGGTGCTGATACTTTTTACCTTAAGATTCATTTTTACAGGAACAAAACCATTTTTACGGAACAAAAAAAATCTGATATACCGTAATTTTTGCAGTAATAATTACCGTAAAATACCTGCATCACTCTAATTAAATAAATATTACTGTAAAAATACGGTATAATATTTTGCAGTAAAAATGGATTTTACGGTAAAAATAGTGCAATAGCATGCACACGACAACAGTGCATGTAAAAGGACATAGCATTTGATCCCACTTTTTAAATAACTGTTATAGCTATTTTTTTAAAAAAAATAGTGAATAAGTGAATAATAATTATTCATAGTGTCTAGAAGAAAAAGGACATAGAATTTGATTCCATTTTTTTAATAGCTCCTATACCTATTTTCTTTAAAAATAGTGAATAATAATTCTTCTTAGCGTCTAGAAGAAAAAAGGATATAGCATTTGATTCCACTTTTTTAATAACTCTTGTAACTATTTTTTTTTAAATAGTGAATAAGTGAATAATAATTTATTCATAGTGTCTAAAAGAAAAAGGGAGATAGCATTTGATTCCACTTTTTTAATAACTCTTATAGCTATTTTTTCAGAAAATAGTGAATAAGTGAATAATAATTATTCATAGTGTCTAGAAGAAAAAGGGACATAGCATTTGATTCCACTTTTTTAATAACTCCAATAGCTATTTTCTTTAAAAATAATGAATAAGTGAATAATATTTATTCATAGTGTCTGAAAGAAAAAAGGACATAGCATTTGATTCCACTTTTTTAATAACTCTTATAACTATTTTTTTTTTAAATAGTGAATAAGTGAATAATAATTTATTCATAGTGTCTAGAAGAAAAAGGGAGATAGCATTTGATTCCACTTTTTTAATAACTCCTATAGCTATTTTTTTTAAAAAAATAATGAATTAGTGAATAATAATTATTCATAGTGTCTGGAAGAAAATAGGCAAAATAACTTTAATTTGACGTTGAAATTTGACATTAAATGATAGTCTATTGATCATTTTAAATTTTAAAATAGCTAATATTTCGGGTTCACTATTTGACATTGAAAAGGCGCATTTTGTGCCATATGCCTACAGTATCAGTAACGCGTATTTTGATTTAGGTGTATTTTTTTGAACCTTCATCCCAAGCCTCTCATGCCCTTAGAAAAAAAAACGAGCATTTTAAGATAAGCCTACTTTTTAAGGAGCATTTATCCGTATACTTCATTTTCATAGCGCTATATTTATTTCTTCGAATACCCATTTCGAGCTATATTCGTTTTCCTAAGCGCAATTTTGAGCTATGATCAAAATAAAAAGTGTACTGACTGCATTAGGTCTTGAACTATTGAAGATATTTTCAGGTTCTCTCATCTAAATATAGAGACAGGATAGTACTTGTAACATTTATACATATTTATAGCCTGTTTATCACGTTATTTCACAAATAAACAGGAAAGAGTGGGGGCATAGAATAAATAACTCTCTACTTCTGCAAATCTGGCAAATTCCATAGTTTAAAAACCACTTTGAAGTTTCGAAAGAGTTTGATAATTGCGTTAGTATTGACGTAAGAGATGCCTCCATTCCACCCACCCCCCAAACGCGCAAGTCACTAAAAAACTTTAACACGGGAAATGAGCCAGCTCTATTTACACTACTTTTGCGCAATGAAAAATTATTTTAAGTTACTGAAATAATGCTTTGAGGTTAAAAAACTTAAGATTAAAAACTTAATCGTTCTTAAATTCAAAAACTTTATGCGAAAATGAATAAACTGCGTTGTTTCTATTGCTTGTTTATTTTAGTCGCAAGTGTTGTTTAAAGATCTGGCGAGATGTTGAATTTTAAAAGTGATCTATTTGAAAACAGAAACAAAGTCACCATGACAAGAAGAAAGGCATAAAGCCAATTAGTCGGAACGAATTTACGCTCAGTTTTATTGCATAAGAAATTTTAAAAATATGTCAATGCTACAAAGACTTGGCTGGAGCTCCCTGAAATACTTTTGTTCATTTTATTGAGGCATTGTTTACTCTTGTATACATTTAGAAATTATAATAATTACCTTATTATAATAATTCATGACATTACACAATGTTCAAATTATACTATTAGAATCTTTTAATAAATTGTGATTGATTTAATGATTAAAAAGATTACAAAAAATTTACTAGTTTTTAAAGCCATTACTATTATTAATATCTGAATACAATTATTTATATACTTTGAATAATATCATAAACAATAAGGGAATAATTATCATTGTTAATCATTAGTAAATAAAAATTAGCCAAAAATTCATGAACACAATTTGTAAGTAGTTACACCGTGTTCTACCGTACAAGAATTGTTATTATATTTTTTTTGCTATCAAAGCAAAGTGACTTGGTTACAGTTTTTTGATTTTAGTTCATTTTACATTTTGTGCAGACATTGTTTACTCTTGTTTAAATTTAGAAATCATAAACTACCTTATTATAATAATTCATGACATTACGCAATGTTCAAATTATACTATCAATGTATAATGTTCAAATTATATCTTTCAATAAATTGTGATTGATTTAATGATTAAAAAGATTAAGAAATTTACTAGTTTTTAAAACCATTACTATTATTAATCTTTGAATACAATTATTTATATACTTTGAATAATATCATTAACTATAAGG